GCTTCTATTTGACATGAATCAAAGTTCCAAATGTGATCGATCCAAAAAATGTCCTACCCAGCCATCTCGATCACTGTTGTCTCCAAAGTGTTTGCCAGATTTGAACATTCTTGTCCTCCACATTCAACTCTGGATTGTTATGCATTCCCATTATATTAATTTCGTGCCAGTGTTTACTTTCAGCCTGATTCCTACCGAAAAGATCCAGATGATAATATTCAGTTTAGAATCTATACAGATATATTCTTTAGATAAAGCTTAGTGAAAAAATTATAGCATCTCCACACGTTAAACAGTCCTAGTAAGCAAGAGAGAAGGTAAGCTCTGCGAAGGCGATTTGATCCAGTCGAGGAATAAAAACTTGGAGACTGAGTTTTCACATGATTCCTTGGCTATGTCCCCATCAACCTCCTCATCTCCAATTTCTTGAAGTCATAGATGAATGTAGATGAATGTACTGGTTTGTCTATGTCTCGTATCACCCATGACAACAATATTTTCTACTGATGGGATATACTCAACTTGAATAAAATTTTAATTAGAGGATAAAAGAGAGATTTTAATCAAGGTGTATTTGACTTAAAATTCAAATGTTTCATGTTCTTGCACTAGCTTGACCCCACTATATGATCACAATTTTCTAGTTAAACCAAAAAAACCTCTCTCCACCGAGCCATGATATGAGCTCTAACTCTTGTACTCTATATATACTAATGATGGTGACATAGCCAAGAATTCACATGAATTCTTGGCTATGTTACCATCAACCTCCTCATCTCTTTTTTCTCCAAGTCATAGATGAATGTACTGGTTTGTCTATGTCTCGTATCACCCACAACTTGGAAGCCTGGTGCTGAACAGAAGACATCAAATCATTGTCATAATATTCTGGCCTAGCCCCTGGTTTAGGGCTTGATGGGATGGGTATCCATATCTTTTATCTTTCCACTTGGCATCCCTGAGGGGGCTGAGAAATCAGGGAGTCTTGTCAGCAGATCTTCATTTCTTTCTTCTATCCACGTGGCACCTTGCAGGTTTGGAGAAACCAGTGAGTCTTGTCATCACACCTCCATTTTTTTTTCTGTCCACTTGGCACTCTAGCTGGGCTTGGGAAAGCAAAGGTCTTGTCATAAATTCTCCCTCTCTATTTTGCTGTCCACTTGGCTTCTTCTGGGTTCCAGAACTGATTCTGTCTTGTCATCAAATCTGCTTCTGTATCTTATTGTCCACTTGGCTTCTTCTCAGGTTGAGAATTGATTCTGTACTGTAATGAAATCTGCTCCTCTGCTTTCCACTTGGCTTCTTCTAGCGTTCAGAATTGTCTTGTCATCAACTCTGCTTCTCAATTTTGCTATCCACTTGCAGTCCTTCATCGAGTTGAGATGGAGGATCAACAGATCTTCTCCTGGCACTCTACAACATAAATCATCCCACACAGAATCCGTGAGCTCCCCTCCTAAGTTTCTGCATCCTCATCCTTCTCCAGCTCTGGTCGGTCCTATGGTTGGCAAACACCTGATGTACTTTAGCAGCCAAGGCGACAATCAATGAGGTGACTATTGTCCACGTCGTCAGCTATATTCCAGTTGTTGCAACGATGTCCATCAGTCCTGGTGCAGGAGATTGTACAAGACACTGTCACGGGGTACTCCAATGACTGACATGGCCATAGCTGCATCGGACGAGATCTTGAGGAAACCTCACGCATGGTGCAAACCGTTTTCACAGTTGGGCTCTGGAATCCTTTTCAACTTTTTTGATCAAAATGTGAAGCGTGGGTTACTTTGTGAGAAAACTTTTGATCAAAATCAAAAATCAGTTTTTCAACTTTTTTTTTCTCAATGCTAGAAGGAGCAATGTGGAAAGCAGAGAAGTAGATTTCATTACAGTACAGAATCAATTCTCAACCCGAGAAGAAGCCAAGTGGACAGCAAGATACAGAAGCAGACTTGATGACAAGAGAGAAACAATACTGAACCCAAGAAGAAGCCTAGTGGACAGCATAATGGAGAGGAAGATTTGATGAATATCCATCCCTGCAAGCCAGGGTAGTATGACAGTGATTTTCTTTCTTGTGTTCAGCACCAGACTTTCAAGTTGTGGCTGATACAAGACATAGAGAAACCTTCATTCTGCACCAGAGACACCAGACATGCAATGGACGGTAAGCAGAGATGTTTCCACAAGTGTTACATTCCTTACTCGAAATATTTTATACCTATTTAAAACTCTATGTGTTATTTCAGTTTTTTTCAGATTCCATGGGATTCATGAAGAGAATATTAGAAGAAGTCGGGTTGTTCAGAGATACATGATTCTCTCCAAAAAAAACTATTTTGTAGAAAATATTTCTCAGAGCTTTGTTCTTTTTATAGGTCCGAGGGCTTAACTAAGTCTTGACTTGTAAATTTGCCCAACATGCTGTTGTGCGATGGCAAGGAAGATGCATACTTTGAAGCTGAGCTTTGGTTAATAGATATGGCACACAGTTATCACAAATATCTTCCAATCTCGAGACATTTCCTTCCATAAGTTACCACTGGAGAAAGCTTATTGTGCTCAGCCTGATTCTATCTCGACAGTACTGCTCGAGCATTTGCTTAAAGATGTACGAAGCTTTATCATCTGCGATTCGAGTGTTGGCGAATGAATGCCACTAAACTAGTCAGGTCTATGTGACATCTCATAGGAGATGAGTGACGCTTCACTTCCATCGGCGTTCAATGCCTGACACTAAAGTATTCAGGTCTAGCTGACATCTCGTAGAAAATGACTGATGCTTCAAATGCATCGGCATCCAATGCCTGCATCGACGTGACACTGATCCTCGGACCTTAACACCAGAAAGTAATCAGTAATCTTAACAGCAATACTCTTTTGCTGTCATGCGAATGAAGTAAGGAGATTCGGACTCTACTGGAGGGTGATCATTGAGGTTATGAGTGTCCATTCGAAAAGTCACATGGAGTAATTAAGGCCTCTTATACATTTCCAAACTAGATACTCAACAATGATCATTCTTGTCTCACAACACCTCGATCTCTTCACCTGACTATTTCATCAAATGTAGAATGCGGGTAAATCATACTGTAAGTAATGTAGTAGAGAATCCTCCTTGATGGTGGAAGGAGTTTCTGAGAGAGTGGTATATTCCTCGTTCTTCAGTATCAACAAAGTGGAAGAGCAGCGCTTTTGGCCTCGTCTGAGAAGAGTTCAGCTGACAGTTCTCTTCATGCGAAGGTTTGAACTCGATGGGCTGCATCAATTTCTTATTCACCAAGAGATTGTTGCTAGAAGGGTGAAACCTGGGCTCGGGTGTCGAACCATTATCTGGTGACAACTCCCTTGTTTTGCTTCGTGAATCTCTGGCAGAATTCGCAGACAATTGCTGCACTGGATCCTGAAGAAGTTAGTAAAACTGTATTTCGTGACTTCAGCCTAAGATCTATCCTCACGAAGCTGTTTCACTTTCGTATGGACATGTTTCAGATCTAAATCGAAAGTATGATTTTCGTGTAATTCTGCAAAGAAAGCTTAATTTTCCTGAGTGACTGAGGGTTTGAACAAGTGGAATTAATCTATTTCTTAAAGGAGCCTTTCGATTAGGAAAACGTACGATCAGAAATTACTCTCGGAGAACCGACTAATATGTTCAACCAGCCCAACTGGATAGGTGATCCATCCCTGGGTTCCATATTCCATCTTCTCAGCTTTGCATGGAAGGGTAAAAATCTGCAAGAAGTGGATTCTCACGATTACTACAATTTTGTGGCCCATCAAATGTTGAATAAAATTTTTAGAATGCGCTACTCAATACTTTCCAAGTTTGTATTATTGTAAATGTTCATGAGAATCAAGTTGATATCAGAAATGCATGCTACCGAGGAGATGGTTACTGCTCTTGACATTATCAGCGACTTTTCCTTGATGGACACGAGATCTATGTCGAGCAAGGAACGTCCCACAATTCCGTGGATGTTCTGATGTTATATTCTGTATAACCCACCAAAGGCTAAAATTGCAATATAGTGGTAGAAAGGTCAAACTCACAAAGACAGAAGCAACACACAGACTACAAAGTGTCACATTTAACAGACTATTGAAGAGTTTGAATTCTCAGGCGACTGTCACTCCCAGAAATACACCGGTGCTCAACTCGGAGCTCACGCGGAGGATGCACAGGACAGCGTAGTGAGCAATGATTTGGATCAACCTTACACTGAAAGTGAGAACTTGATTTGCAACTCGAGTTACTCATACTGACTTGAGACATCCAACTTCGATAATCTAGATCAGACGTTGAGATCAGTGGAGAGTATGGTCCAAAGAGTGCAGATGGAGATGGGATAATCACTCACTGTCCAACAAGAAGTACAGTCAATTTTGAATTTTTTCATGTCTGAAATGGACAAGTTTATTGAGTATTCTCATTCGCTTCAGCAGTCTAGAATTTCCAAGCGAACATATGTTACGTACAATGTTGGCTTCTTCTATAGGAGTGCATTTCTGCGTTTCGGAAAATCTTTCGTTTACACTTCATATGTGAGTTTTTCACACTATTAGACATCAAGAAGTTTTCATGATACACGTGAATTGGGAGAATTGCGCGTGGATTCAGAAAGCTATTGAAATTTCATACAACGTCATGTATTGTGGATTCAGAAAGCTATTGAAATTTCACACAAAGTCATGTATTATGCTGTGAAGGCTGGACTGGATGAGAATCTGGGCCAAGCGATTCTGGACTGGGCAGATTTTGAGAACATTCAAAATTGAACTTATTGGTCTATTAAGTTTATTTTCTAAAGCCTATATTGCTTTTGGTCTTAGTTGATTTTATTTAGAAACACAAATTCTGTTTTATCCTAGTTCCAGTTTATCGTTAAATTTCGATATATCAAAGTTCACATGCTAGATAGCTTCTTCCATCCAGGATAAATCAGTGATTCATTTCTGCACTCATGGAAGTCACATCATTACACTCTCGTAACACAAGAAGTCTCGAAGAAGCCTTGCTGTATGTCAAATGAATTGTGAGCTCAATACATGAAATCCAGACATCAAGCACCATACCAGGCATCTTTAGCCTTGGAGTCGTCAGGTCTGCTATTCCCATTAGTCCACCACTCTCTAATTTTTCCCATCAGTCCAGATAAGTAAAGTGATCTCGATGATAACTGCAATTTCTCTAACCGCTTTTGTGGTTAGAGAGCGACTCACGTCCTCGACATCTCTTAAGAAGATCTGCTTCTCCTCATGGTTGACATCAGGTTGCTGGCTAAGAAGCGGCAAGAATTCTATTAACATTTAGGGTATGGGGTTCAACTCTAAACCTCAATATACAGTTGTAACACAAGAAGTCTGGAAGAGGCCTTGCTTTTTGTGAGATGACTTGTGAGCTGAACGCATGAAATTCAGATATCAAGCACCATACTAGGCCTCTTTAGCCTTGGAGGCGGTCAGGTCTGCTCCTCCAAGTATTCAACCACTCTCCAATTTTATCACCAGTCAAGATAACTATTTTTATCCCGACATAAACTGCAACTGCTATAGCGGCTTCCAAAGTGGCTGGTGTGGTTACAGAGCTAGTCCAGATAAGTACAGTGATCCAGACAGTAAGTGCAATTACTACAACGGGTTCCATATTTTCGTCTCTAGGTATACGTAGAGCCACGTCCAGCAATCGACAAGATCTATTACCAGTCTTGATTCTATACAAATCTATCCAAGAATCAAGAAACCTATAGAAACCTAAACTGATCACAACACTCAAAATAGGTAGAATTACTGCCACGGCTTTGGAAGATGATGTGTATACAAAGCCAGTCCCTATAAATAAAATGAAAAAAAGTCTAATTCCTTTCACTTCAAAGGCGATCAAAGTGGCTATTATGGCTGTTATGGGTTCAAAGGGACTGAAGATATGCAATGCGCTAAAGAAAAATACAATGTCGCCAATTTTTTTAATGGCTTTCTTGGTTACAGTGTAACTTACCATCCTAGAAGATTTTAAGAGGAGTTGCTTCTGCTCAGGGTTGACACCAGGTTGCTGGCTTAGGAGCAGGATTACACTTCTGCACGCTGCCTTCGCGTACCTCCAGCAATTGTTGTTGAGGAGGTTATAGTTTGTATCATGTCCTTCAAGCGTTGTGGTAAGATCACCGAGCGGCACCTGGATCGAGTAACCTTTCCAGGAATATATGATATTATGATTATCACGGAGTTCCCGGAAAGCCGAACGGGTCAGTAAGTGGATGTAGATCCCCGGAGTCCCTCCGCCTTGTCCTCTACCTTCCTTTTCGGCGCTGATGAAGAACTGAAGGAGTTTGCCTTCGGAGTTTCTTGCTTTCAGACGAAGGACGGCGAAATCATGGTGGGGAAGTACCGGGAGAGGTGCAGGCCTTGCCGATTCGCGCTGCCATGCCCATCGACAGGAGCCCGTCGAAGCGAAAGCGGACTGGCAGTAATAAATGAACTGTACAGAGGTGCTAGACCGGATCGCATCAATATCATCCTTGCTGTACTTCAGATCTTCTCTGAGAGATCGCTCCACATCATTGTGGACTCCACCATTTGTCGCGCCGACCCTCGCATACCAGCTCCTCACTCTCTCAGTAAGCAGTACGCTGATCCCCCATCTCACGAACACAAATATCATAAAACCATACACATACGGTACGTCGATCCACCAAGGCATGATCACATAGGCAATCCTACTCACGCACGCAGATATCACAAAAGGAAACAACAGTATCATTATAACCAGTTGATCCATCCAGTATATCCACCAACTCATGATCACAGAGGCAACGCAACCCGAACGGAAGTGAGTTGTGAGATCTCAACCGATAAACTAGCGAACTCTTTGAAGCTGTGACTTCCGGACTCTGACGGAACTCAGAGTCCGGAACGCGTCGAAACACGGTGGATATGAAATGGAGAGGCCACGCTTATTGCAGCAGCATTGAAGACTCGTTTTCGGAAATTGGTGCTAAATCTTGAATCCCTACTGCTGCACTTGGACAGGATGACCTTTTCCAGTTGACTTTGGATCTTGCCTCCCATGCTGCTGTGAAGGAGGGCATGAGATGCTGAGCTGTTCACAATCCCTTCTAGTTGATTCGACAGAGACCAAATCCGGCATCAAATATTAAAACGTGCAGCATAACGTGTCTATACAGCACTGGAGATGAAATGCACCAAAGGAATCTCCATTTTATACATTTTATACATGAAGTACTCTGTAGGAAAACTTCAGCAACACTTTAGCGTCGCTCTGAGAATCGGTGACTGGATGTCGTTTTCCAAGACAGGTTGACATTTTCGGATTGGCGTGGGATCTTGCCTCCCTACCAAGCTATCCCTTTGTGTTTCGTGAAAACCACTCCTTAGTTTCGTTTCATGGAAAACTCCCTGTAGATGCGAGGAAAAGCAAAACCCAGTTAACACAGAACCTAATAACTTCTGCATTGATGATGTCCAGGCTAAAGCAGACGTAAGCTCGTGCTTTCACTTGGAGTCGAAGGATTCTATAGCAAAAGTTCCAGCATCTTTTTATCTCGAGTCCTTAACTATGTTCTCCACTCAGGCAGATTTTTTTCCCAGATTTCTAACAATAATGAAATGAATGCGCTCGTCAAGTCTTTCCAACGTGCTTTTTGTAGATGTATACGTAAATCCATGCATGATATACTTTATGCTGCAAGCCGGAGGACCTAGCTTTAAGAGCTTTAAGGGGATGAGAAGTGATGGATACGAAGTCCAACAAGATGCTACATTCTTTAGGAAGAGATGGCGAGTCATATATCCCTCGAATCATGGTCTGGATTTGGCGAAGAAGATTCATTGTGCAAGTCGAAATAGCTTCTGGTGGCGGATTTTAGTCACGGCCACCTCCAGCAGAATCCAACGAGATAACAAAACTCGATATGAGAAACTCGAAGTCAGCTTAAAATGCGTATTGTTGACGAATAAGAATCTAGATTCGTCAAGGTCAAATGCAATATGAAGATCTGCCTGAAGCATGCAGTCCAGTGCAATTTAGTGCATGAAAGGAGAATCCTAACTTTGGCAAAATAGGAACAAGAACACAAGGGATAGCTACAGATTCTGAAAATAGTTTCGGACATAACATACGCTAAATATGTTGAGACATGCTCGTGCTCCAATAGCTAAACTTAATTGTACACCATGAGCAAATCTAGTGAGTCAGGAGGCAATAGAAAAATATGAACTTCGACCCCGATTTGGAATCTTATATTACCAATGATCCTCATTTGCATATATGATTCACGCCCCATAGGAAGTGCAATCACATCATCACAGCATGTTCCAGCTTGCTAGCCTCCAGGACATAGACCTGAACGAGGTTCTACGGAGTATGAGTACACTTCGGGAGTATAAAAAAATGAGCGACAAGAAAGCATACTGTACTTTTATTTTTGTCAGAAATCTTCATCAGGGCAACTTATCTGACCTCCCTCCTCTTTTTGGAAGTCAAAGATGGTTTAATTTGGAGATTTCCAACGAAGATATTCGGCCTTCAAATGGTAGTGGATTCCTGCTTGTATCTGACTGCGTAGATACACAAATCATAGAAGTTTCACAATCTTCCTTCCTGTGCTACAAGCAAATTGGGTTCCACACTAGATGGTTACGTCTTCTAATCTTCAATCGGTCTGAAGGACAAAATTTCTCATCATTCAAAGTCCATGTTCATAGTTCATGTATCCAAAATCTAGGCCCCCTGTCAGCTTCCAAAGCCCGTCGAGGTAAGTGATGAAGCACCAAAGTTATATCCGAATCCATTATTGATTATTATTTTTAATTTTAATTCTTTGCTGATTTGTAAAACAAATAGCTTTATAATTTCGATTATGCGTGTGGCAGCTGACTGGTGAACCTGTGCTACTCCAGATACTGATGACAATCACTCCTACATTGACTCACTGTCATCTCTTTTGAGTACTATGCTGTTTTATGATTTTTCAAGATTGAAGTTCCATGAATATCGCTTCCACACACCTCATGTGGTAAATGCAAAGATTGCATATGAGACACTAATGAGATTCATTTAAGGTATCTCAATTGCAAAGGCTAGAGATGTGGCTCTCCATGCCTAAAATGAAGAAGCGAGGTGACAAGATAGCCAACAGAAGTTCTCGATGGCTCATGCTGGCTGAGCGAAGAGCACTACTTGCTGAACTCCATGCCACTTCCATCAGTTTTTCGTTAGTCTTGAGACATAATTCCAATGTCAGAAGCCACGAAGGTTTAATAATAATGGCTAACAAATGGCAAACACTGATCGCTGAATGCCAAGCCACTTCACCCAACCTTATGGTACTTCCTCTACACCTGTTTGATGCCAGAAGCTAGAAAGTGAACATTTCAACCGCACCAACAAATGGCAGACACTGCGAATTATAACATCCCTAGATTTGGACACTCAAACCTGCATAACAATACATCGAGGAGGCAATCATTATTGCAATGACTTGACTGAACGTGAGTTTGGAGCAGCTGATTTTTTGGTTTCATTAGTGTTGACAGACGCTTTGCAGTGAAGGGCCCTATCTAACCACATAGATGTAACTATAAAGTACGCACCAAAATGGAAACTTAATAAACTATATTTGCAATAGTTGATTGAGCTGAGCAAAGCCCTCAAGAGAAGGCCAAAAATGGTAATAGTACCATAGAGATGTGGTGGCGTGATTGTGAAGTCTTACAACATGCAGTTCCACTTATTCTGTAAGTTGTTATTAGTTTTGTTCTAGTGCTCTGGGCACTAGCTAGGGGATTCTCTCCTGGTTTGGAGTTTGATTGTTTGTATCGTGTTTTTTAGCCATTTGACCCTTTGGGTCCCACGGGCTTTATCTATTTACCATTTACATATATTGAGGACAATTTACTGACTAAAACAAAGTTCAAAGGACTGATATTTACTAATGGACAAATTTCTGTGCATCAAAGAATTTGCAAACTTCCTTCCGATGAAAATGCCAACTACTTTATGAACCTTGGAGAGTGCTTTGTGTGTGGTAGCCATGCGAAGAAGAGAATAAGTTCTTGGGTTCAAATTTATTCACATTGGCTTGATTCATCTATGTTTGCCTCTCAAAGTCATGAGAAATGTTGTGAATTGATCAGTTCTTATATTATGTCAAACTGTTTATATGACCCGAACCCACACTAACGTTCATATAGTCCGCTTGGACAGGGCTCTCGTTTCAATGACTGGAGCATGTGGGGATCATATATAGTCGGAATCATAAGCTAGTTCTTTTGTGTGTTCAAATATGGGTTTGAGTAAAAGGACCAGAGGTCATGTTATGTCGAGCCTCCAAGGGCAATGTCCTACATAATCTTTTGTGTAATCTATCGTAATATTGTTTCTGGAGAAAATAAACTCTTCCACGTCCGTTATGTCTGATGTGCCTAATTGCTCATATGTGGTAATGATATCAAAGGTGACTAGAGGGCTCCACTAGCCAAAAACATTAGAAGCATCACCACTTACATCGATATAAGTATGCCCTAAGACCAAGATCGGAAAAAATGTCTTCCTACTTGCCAACTCTGTGATCAAGGGCGGGCAAGGTCCATGGCTACATCACATAAACGCTCATGATCTTCTTACCAAAGTCTCTCAGATTTCGATAAGGAGATGACACGAATATCTCAGACTTGACATCAATGATGTTGAAAGATAGACATCCGAATAGCTTTGGTAAGAGGATCATGGACTTTAGATGTATGTGAACAAAAAATCTTGCAAAATAGTTGTGTGATTCCATGAACCGAAAACCACATGCTGATATTTGGCCAGAGAAACTTGTTTTACAAATAAAGTTTGTCTAGATAATGTGAGAAAAAGCTTTGAAACACTCTTGCATTCCAAGAGTAAGTAAAGTGTATGATGATGTTGAAGAAATGCTTGAAAAGTATCCTGCGATAATTATTTTCTCCTAACCATGGAACATGAGTGTGCTTCCCAGTTGTGAAAGATAAAAGATAGGAAGTTTGTGGATTGATGTCATGGGTACTGATTTCGGCCATAGCAAAAGTTTGAAAATATTATCAGCAGAGAATGTCTCTTGGTTCAGGCACAACTTGGAAGATTGAGAAAATGATGTGTGGACTTGGTATAGAAGGCACTTTCACATTCTTCAATAGGATCATGTGTTACTAAAAATGGCGAACTCTGGAGTGTGGAGATTACCAACAAAAGATGTTCATATTGACATTTCTAAAAACGCTGGATATGTTTTATCTCGTCCGATATAGGTCGCAATTCATGAATTACTTCTACGATTCACGAGTACGAGTGGCACAAAGACAAATAGATCGGATGATATTCCTACAGCAAAGTTTTTTGCTAGGTCTCTCGGTTGCGTTTGGATTTCCGACAACTTAAACTGTCAAACTTATCCTTTCTTTTGGGGGAAGCTTAAATGCCAGTGTAAATTATTTAAAACAATTATGTTTCTCATTTTCCTATACTCGATTGATGTCACCTTTTGGCAAATCTGCGGGGAGGAAATAGTGAAAAAATAGTCTCCTTCTGTGTTTTATTATTTCTTTACGCTGCTTTATTCCTTGAGAAGTAAAATTGAAACAAATTTTCTACGTGTTTGCCTGCATTTACTTTAACTTTCATTTTCTTGGTGAAGGTTAAAAATTTTGCTTAATTCATTTCGAAGTCTTGCGCAAATCCGATAGATGCATTCAACATTGCCCTCTACGACAGAGCTCACACAGGGTACAAACTTTGAATGCATGCCCGAGCTGATTCAAAGTCAGGATTCATCTCTGCAACGCTATTAAAGATGCATCTTACCAACATGGACATCTTAACACACAGAATGGAGGCACATTCTCACCAGATGGTAACAGGTCTTAATGATCTTAAAACGAACTTCATTTATTTGCAATTCTCCATTGAATCGGTGAGCATCAAGACTGAATTACATAAGCCTTCTGGTGACATGTGGTCTGCGAATTTATCTATAGAGGACTGCCTACATCTGTACCTCTATCAGAAGTACCCCAAAACTCATTTACATGTACGTAAAAACCAACCTCCATTGCTCGATTTTCACATCAAGAGTATCCTGCTATCTCTCTATTTTATCTGTGATAGTGGATAAAGAGGAGACGTACCAATAAAACCGATATCCAAAACAGCTGTTAAGTGCATATGATTAAGATCCTTTCGCCCTTTTGGCTTCGATTAAACGATCCAAAATAGCAGCTTCCATGGGTATTGGATCGATGCATCTCTCTGCAGCTGCTTGACAAACCTGAACATGTATCAATTGCAAATGTTAAGAACCGAAACTTGTAGATAGAAATTGGTAGTGGCATCTAACACTACTATTCTCTGGGGTTTTCGATACTATACTGCTTGCAATCCACTGATTTGATCATTTATATGCATGCAGAAAGCTGGACTTGCATGTACTCACTTCATCTAGAAGTGAATCGACGACGGTCTCATTGTCGAAAACCTTTTCTCGGAGATTGTCACGTAAATATAAAGCATCGACTTGTATCTGATTGTAGCCACTTCGATTGAATGTTTGTAATCTGACACATTCTTGGAAGGTCTTCAAGCACATCTTGATTATGGTGGACATAACCGATGACTGTCACGAGTCATGAACACGTTAGTCAGATTTCTACATATGAAACGGCAGACTAACTCGATTAAGCTGAAGGTAAACTCTTCAACGGAAAAATTGAAGAAATATGTTATACTGAGTAAAGGCTGAAAAGCTGGACCAGAGAATGGCGCGTGTTTCAGTGGGCGCAAGAATTTAATATCACTTTTGAAAAGACAACTTGATCAACCGACTCGTTCGTTGGTAAGGAGAGAACACAAATCCATGAAGTGACCTGGAAAACACTCTTACTTGGGTAAATTCAACTTTCGTAAAAAGTTCGATCTTTTGCTTGAAAAGCTTCGCAACATCTCTTTCCAGTAATCGGCTTCTTGCACGTGCTGTTATGCTTGTTCGGTGGCTCCCACTGTCACGCATGCCAGTGCTATCTCGCATACTAGCCGCATTACTCCTCGATGATCCAGCACTCCCCGAACTGTCAGTGCGACGATGACTCCGGGTCGAACCCTGGTCCAGAACTTGCTCCACCTCCAATTGTACCCTGTTTACCTAGAGGGGCACCACGGAGGTTCTTATATGTGACATCTTTAACTAGAAAGTACAAGTTCAACTCAGAGAACTGGGATATGAAGCACAGAGAGTTGGGCAGTACCTCCTGTAAAAGAAGATCCGCAAACATGCGCACATCCCTGGGCTCTTTGTACTGTCAAAGAAACGACAGAGCAGGATCAGATTTTGAAAATGGCTACCGCGGATATTCTTAATGTTATAGGTAAGATTTCAGCATAAAGTGTTAACCCTCACCTTCAACCAATTCGGCGTCTCCACACTCTTTCGAATCAAAGTAGATACCTTACGAGCCTGCGTATCTATGTACTGCGAGTCAGAACAAGAAGCAGAGACAACTCAACGTCAGAAAATATTTCACACCGGACTAGTATAACATATGATCTTTAGACTTTCAAGCTCCTGATGCGAACAATACAATAGAAACAGCAAGGAACCAGACCTCATGGAGGAACTTTTCTCCACTGGAGTAAAAAAGCCTACAAATTTCCGAAGGCACGAAAGCTGGTCGAGCTTCGAAACCCATTGCACCACCGCCAACAAATGATGCACCAACCACCTGCTCTTATCCACACACACAGCAACGAACGATGATAAATTTCACGTATACAGCAGATGAAGGCGATGCGCTTGTATGTAGAGTACATTGACGTAATTACTTCAGCTAGTTATCAAGTTACAACTTGGCAGATCAAGATCAAATATCTCCTTTCTTTAAAACGAGAAGTAATCACACAGTACCTCTGTAATTTTAGGTACTGCTGTCTGCTGGATATAAACAGAAAGGAGTGCCAACATCAAGACTAGTCCCTGAGATGCGGTTTGAAATTTTGGAGCATTCACTTGATCTTGGCTGTTTGAGCATAGATGGAGAAAGTGATCATTAAGGTTCGTAAACAGCTCCTGGAAGCTAGCCTGAACCAGGTCTATATAAGCATCCTTCCAACCTTCCAGTAGGTCTCCACATTTCTCCAGAAGGTCCCTAAGATCCTGCGCAATTAAGAGCCAAAGTCAAATGAAAAGACTCATCAAAGCTCTGACCGGAAGAAACAGGTAGAAAACCTTGCCGTCATGATTTAGTGCCTGTTCCCAGTATGGAGAAATCACGTAAATTACGACCTACAAGTAACATTCAGGCGAGATGAAGTCATCATAAAAGTAAAACACACGATAAAAAGATTGAACAAATTAAAAGCCAGATCTGAACTTGCCCGCAAAATCTCAACACTGTCAAACAAGATAACTCGTTTGGCATTATCCAGAGCAGCACGCAAGGGCTTCAAATTCTTTGTTTCTTCTCCTTCTTTGCTGGGAGTTGGTTCATCAATAACAAGACTCCCTGCAAACACCACGAATCTCATTGAAACATGAAGGCTTATGTAACTTCATATCATGATTAAATAGCTATGTAGGTGATAAATATAACGAGGACGCTCGATATTCTTCTCTACTATGAATGTCATGAACATCATAAGCAGGCAGGAAAAAACAGCAGACGGAGGCGAACGTACCAATTATGCGTGCGTAAAGGTCGGAAAACATCGCAACAACGTGTTGATGGATTGCTGTCTCAACTGCCTGTTCAGGAAAAGAGGAGAAACGAAAGACTCCGCGCTTAAGAATACCAGGCATAGGACATGTGCAAGCTTCGAGAAATTTTTTAACTAAGATGCTAAGTACTCGTGCACTCTAAATCAAAACTTTAGACAAACCTGTTAAGCATATAAACGAACGACTCTTGCACGTGCAAGAGTCGTTCATCTAACATGCTTTACATGCGAAGTAAGGGACTAACATGAGAGAGGTTGCTAGGCTTACAAGGCACTGGCTACTGCCTTACCTTCTCGGTCATTTCTGGAAGTCCAGCTTCTGGTACCAATTTTTGCATGTTCCCTGTATCCTGTGAAAGTATATCTGGAGGGAAAAAAACTGCTGTCAGGTAGCTACTTGGAGTTGAGTTCCCACGTTCAGAAACTATTTTTTGGCGAAATTGTTTTACGCTATGCTGCCTTCAGTAAACAGAAGCAGAACCTCTTAGATGCCAAGCATTAGAGGAAAAATATCACGAAATTGATTGACGTTTGAGATCATTGAAATGAGAACATACTTAGTGCTGCCGTCAACTCTACAATTGAAGGTTTTCCTGTTTTGGGCTTCAGCGACTTTTGGACGTTCGCAAAGTATCTATCGTCATTCCAACGTTCCATAAATAATTCAGAACAGGAGAAAAGAAACAATTCCATCCGTCGTCTTCAAAAATATTCAATTGAGCCATAATGTCAAACAGACTAACAAAATGCATCCGTTCTAACAAAATTTGTTAACTCACACTAAAGTTAACTCTTAAGACGACGTCCTACTGTCATGCTAAAAAACAACGTATAACCAAACTCCAATACACGAATCCATCCTTGACCCTTCAAGAGACCATACCCAAGGGGCATTAGAAATGGCCGAGAGGTCCAATTGCAGCACTCCTACTGAAAACTAATACTGGTTTATGCAGATCATTTCAACACCATGACTGGAACTTATCACCAGTCCAAAGGTTGAAGCATATTGTGGCTGATAGTAACACAAACTATATGAAATGAATCACATAGAACAAGAAACATTCAAACTAACTTACTCATGAAACAGTTTGAGGGCAGCTTCGGTCAGGCGATTCTCCTCATCTGGGAAAAGAGCACGGTAAGTCACCGCTGTATGAGTAAAGTCGCCAATAAAATCCTGGAGGACGAACAATCACGATAGGTTCAAGTGCTATCAGAACCCCGATTCTCACTGACCTATATATATATATATATATATATATATATATATATATATATATATATATCATTCGGTTATATCTAAGACTAAGATAAAGACTGTCATTATTTTAGAACACGGAATTGCACACCAAATATAACTTTCCTGTCATGGCCTGAAATAAAGCTATCTATGACCCGCGAATTGAATCCTTGAAACAGAGAACAACAATAACGACGATCAATACAACTGCAACCGACCTTATTAAGGACCTCCATGGACTTTTGAGGAGATGCTCCGTCGGACTCATCAGCTAGTTTCTCGACTTCCACCTTCTTGGTTCCAAACCATAGCCATCCCTGAAGTCGACCAACAAGACCTGGTGTTTCTGGCTCGACTACTTGTAGGGCAGCCATAAGACGAGGCCAATGAGTTGCGAAGTAATTTTCCACCATCTTCTCGACCTGAAGGCATTGCCAAGAATCACTATGTAAAAGGCAATACTTAGGAAGGTTGAGAGTACGAGAATTGATAAGGAGACACTGGCATACATACGCAGTTGCCCACAAAGTAATAATGGAATGAAACAACGTGGGCTAACGATTGAAATTACACTGAATATTTTGATCAAAAATAGACCGAAATCAACAGCAATTTGAGAATAGTGACCTAGGGATCTGAAAGACTTGACGTCAACAAAAAGAGGTACAAAAGGACAGAAGGAGAAGCGAATGTGGACATAAGATGCAGTGAAAGAAGGCAAGGATCTAACTTCCTATGTAAACCATTCGTGAGTAAATAATGCTCTAAATGAAATAAGAAGAATACCAAGATCTGCAAATAGAAGATGCGGTCATTCGGAAAGCCATGCATATGAAAGAAAACAGTAAATAAAGCCTTCGGAATAAGAGCATAGAGCAAGGTCCAAAGTTAATAGAGAACATACTGGAAACTCAAGTTGTTGTAGAAGCCTCACAGCTTCAGCTCTCGTTTCTAGAGATAATTTATCATCCGCTACTTGTACCTGTTAAATACACTGGATCACCGTAAATATGCATGTACCCCAACAAGATCGAGATTCTGTTTCAAGATAGACAACGCATTCAATTCTGCTGAACGAGGAACCCGTATGAACTTGAGAGTAACTGATGATGTCGAGCTAACGAGAGAGAAAACACACCTGCAGTTTCTGTGATATGGAGTCGATAATCTCCTCCGACTCCTCCCTACACGCTGCGAATGAGGTCTTCCCATATGTCTACCCTTTTCACATCCACGCCGAGAAGTCGATTGTTATCTATAGAACTTCTCCTGACTAGACCAGTCCTCTGACTAAACTTCAATGCACGGAAAGAAATCCATAATCTGAGGTAAGACTGGTAGACAAAAAAATGATGTGAGGTGACGAAACAAAAACAAGTTAGAGGAGGCTGACAACACAACGAATAACATTCATACCTTGAGAATAGGAAGAGCACCCATGTAGTACTTCACAGCTTTCCCGTACTCTTGTGACTTCAAGCATACCCGTAACCTTTTCGGCAAATCAAATATAAACTGCCATGCGACGAATACAAAGATGAGCTCTGATTACTATGCAGGCTGTATTCGTGTAATCCAGATATGCAGGACCAGGCTATCATTGACTGGAAAAATATGTGACTTGAAATTGACAGCAATAACAGCACCGCACTCCGTAATTCAAACCTCCACTCTAAATTCTTGCATCTCCCTGACTTCTGTACCTGCTATGTAGCTTTCTTCCATCAACCTACGGAGTCAGGCCCTGAGAAAGACTGAGTAACCTCTTAGATAATGACAGTTCTTTGAGACACTCCTAGAAAATTAAGGCGGAATCCCAAGCTCAAGTCAGGATTCTACAATCACTTCATTATTGCTAGAGGTGAATATTTTCACCAACCTGAACTTTTCGTAAGAGACTGCGAGTTCCATTCAGTTCTTCAATCCTCTCCCTTCTTGCACAAAGCGACGCATTGATCCCATCACTTTTGGCTCTGACAGCTGTGACCTAAATAGCAAATAAAGTACTGAATGGTCAACGGTTCTGGATCAATAACCATCACAACATGTACAAATTTAAACAGATGCTGGTGAAAGTCAGTCACCACAATGTTTTCAGGATCGTTACTCAATCTGTGTGCATGTAAATGCAAGAATATCCTCCTAGGATAGCTACGAAGATGTGTGAGATCCGACATAATTAAAACATGACCGAGCCTAATAACAACAAAAAGTAAAGCGCGGAATGTACTTGGTCAACGGACTATCTTCCATTATTCCAGCTTCTGGTGAATTTTCACAAGGCAAAGACGGTTCTGGATGACTCTAGATACTACTTTCGATCGTGTCCTGACGCAAGGTTGATCAATTTACCGTCTCAAGAAGCTGATCCATGTTCGACTCTATACCGGCGACATTCTCTTTCATCCTGTAAAAATGACTCCGGCTCAGTAGCTTTCTTTTATTAAACCGAGGTTCCGCGTATCAAGAAACCATGCAGTGATCGAATAAAGTATATGAGTGTCAACACAAAAGGATCAGAATTGCAACGACATGCTTCCAACCAATTTCCTCACCTTCTGATAGTATCCGTGGCGCTTATAAACTTATTGTAATTCTCGTAGACCAGCATTTGCATGTCACTATCAAGGTTCTTAATTTCGGCTGCCATCTCGACATGCTTCTGCAGTAAACCCTCCAAAGGAGTCCGACGCAACTGCAAAACAAGGGAAGAAACTCAGGCCGCTGGCAATTGCAGCGTCAACAGGAGCTGCACATCGAGATCTAGACCACGAACAAGACGTAGAACCGAAGTTGTATGTCCGAAAACTGAAGGATTCTTCGCCATAATTTCACCGTTGACCAATATCAAGGTCCGGTTGCTTAATTGCCTGACACCTTCGATTTCCACAGAAAGATTGACTCGGTAATAATCCTCAATTCCGCGATGGGCAATGCAGCTGCACCTCGACCTAGCCAAACACGTTCCTTAAGCTAAGAAGTGCTCGAATCCGCGCAGTCAAGCGACTGCGAGGCCGAGAGAATGGACACATTGCCCCAATCGGAAACGAACTGATACGGATTTACGCACAATGTGGATAGAACTTCCAGGACCTGGACGTACCAGCGATTGCATATAGCGATCGGAATCAAAATCGGGCAAATTGATGCCCTGCAAAGTATCGCGGCGAACGGGCGTGGCAGGCTGGGATCCCGCATCTTCTCCATAGAAGCTGCTCAGCAAAGCCCTCATGCGCTTCGCTTTCTCGTCCATCTCCTCGGTGCCCGCCATTGTGATCCTGCTCACTCGATCGGTCACTCCCTCGCCGGCAGATCGACCCTGCAACTCGAGAGTGACTTGGATCGACCGATCGATACAAGCCCGTCGCCCTCCTCTCGACTCTCGTCCCCTCCCCTCCTTCGTTTCTGTCACTGCATCGACAATTCCCGGCCTTTCGGAAACGCGCCTTCGTCGCTCCCTCCCGCTCCTCTTTCTCTGCCACTACTCTCTCACTTTCGGCCCCGGTTAAACCCTAAGCTCCCATTAGCCAAACCCGGTTTCCGCTAAACTCAGCGGTAATGCGATCACTAATCACCACTTTCTCTAAGGAAGTGAAGCCATTGCTCCGACTGCCTGCTGTCAAGTCTCCGTGGGTTCACGTTCGTCCTCTCACGAGAAATGAACTGTGACACATGAGGGACATAACTCGTCGCTCGTATTTGACGTCAACTTTTACATTTAAAGCGAACCTGGCAAGATCTTTTGGGATGGCATGTCTACTGGGTTTCTTCTCATGCTCGCCCTCTTTCAAGCACTGATGGGGTCGTGAATTATAGTCTGCGCGGTGCGGACAAGTTCGTATTTTCCTCTTCTAGTCACAGGAGCTTCGGTGATCTTTCCAATAGTTAACCCTGGATTTCCGCTACATTCAAGTCTCGATCTCGATCGTTTGAAGAGGAAGAACACGACATGGTACACTTTGCTCCGCGGATCAGATTGGAGTATCGAATTTACCGAATATCGAATTACCAGATTGAATCGAATAAAAAGAGGGCGAGGGGCTTCTGAGCGCCAATACACGGTCTCGCAGAGCTTATTTTGTCACTTAAAACATGTATTGGGCGAGTCCATAGAGTACACCTCAGGCATCTCCAGAAGAATGTCTGAATGATGTATGACTTAATGCCGACACAGAACATCAAAATCAAGTAGGTGACTGCACCATGAGCCAAACACCTCGTTACAATGAACATGAGACAAAGAAACACCAAACTCGGTGATTGCTATATGAAGAAACACTGTGCTTCCCCCAGCCTATATACCTCTTTCTTTCAAGTACTCCAAACTTTGTTATGGCAGGTAAGATAGGTCCTTTCTCAAAAAGCGCCAAGACTAGGAAGAAAATGCCCTGAAGGGTTCTTCAAGGTACTTCACTAGGAAAAAAACTTCTCAATTGTCTTCTCTTTCATGTCTTGAAATACAATAGACAGTGTACATTGTTAAAAATGACTACTTTCTGCTTTGACCCCACAGACGATTTAGCAAATGACGGTAGAGCAATATGTGCGTGTACACTCTACAAGTTCCCAGTGTACTTGGCAGAAAGTTCCTGCAAACCGTAGCTATAAATTTCCTGCACAAAGTATACATGGATTTGTTCATTGATGTGTTTGCAGACTCGCATATACAAGTGTTCCACACAACATTGAGCCAGAACTGATGTATTGGAACCACCCAATTTTGGTAATTCTCGAATTACGAAAATATCGCTACGCAGGTCGCCAAACCCGGACTTTTCATTCGTCAAAGCTTGAAAACTATCCTACTTTGTAAGAGCTTGAAGGTGGACTTACTTTTTACATAGCGTTCCTGCGATCTCCAAAATTTCCTAAAATATTTCAAATCCGAGAAAAGAAAACAGCCCCTTGGGAAGTCGCCATGTACTTCAACTCGAAAAAAAAAATTACTGGAGAATACGAGCAGAATATGTACAGCGGAATATGGCATGGCTAGCAGGTCTCCTGATCGCTCATAAGAAAAATGTCAGCTGTGAACCTCCATCATCATCTCGGAGCCGTTCTTGAACGCTGACGTCTCAGCATCCTTTTCTGTCAGTGCTGCCGATCGAAGATTGGCCTTTTTCGAATTTGCACTTCCCAAAATAGACGGATTCTCTTTCCAAAATGAGTCCTTGATAAGATCTTCATGGCTAACAACCACCATAGTTTTTTGCCTTTTGATAGGCACACCATTCTCAACTTTCACTATGTTTTCATCCTGAATAAGAAGTGAAGCAGATAGAAACGTCAGAACACGGGCACAAAATGGTCCATGCTGATTCCTAACTGCAATGCTAGATAGTATGCCGTGATCTTCTATAGAAGATGCAGTACTGGAAGCAAGAAGTTCTATATGAAACTTAGGAAAGAAGTCCAGCGATAAAAAGCTGACTGAAACTGTGAACCTCTGAACTCACTTTGCTTATGACTGACGATTGTGGGAGAGACGAAGAAACTCAAATGAGCTCTACAGTACATGCTGAAACCCACCTTTCTTTTGAAAACAAGAGACCCCTTCCTGAAAATAGCAGGCAGGTCATTGTAGTTGATGCCAAAGCGAGTGTGAAGAAGCTCGTTTTTAAAGTCAGCTAGTGTACCCTGGGATAGGCAAATACCGAGAATTAGACAAGTGATGTTCATAACTTCGTGTATGACATGGCAGGAGTAATCGAGGCTCAAGTTCAAAACTGACCAACCTTTATAACATTCTGAGCTTCAGCCGGACTGCACCCAGAGTGTACTAAACTCCAATAGCATGTGTTATACTGGTTATTGACATGACCTGCACAATAAGAACAATCTTCAAATAACATTCCTCGTACATGTTCCACGAAAATACGTGGGAAATAATTGTATTCTGGTCGAGCCAGCTATGCGGAGAAAACAACCCTGAAACTTACAATCTACTTGTCGCCATGACAAGTAATCCCTGAGGATGGTGTCGGATGGATAGCAGACAGCTCGCCCGTCAAAAGAAGGAGCATACTGCATCTCGGTCCCCGGAAAATAACGACCCCATTTCATCACATACGTTGCCGAAAACAGAGAGACTACGATTGACACCAGCTTGCTGCAAACAAAAAGTGCACATTCTTCAGCGGTATTTTACACAAGCTCATCAGAAAGTCTCCCACCGGGAACAATGGAATGGAATCCGGAATGCAATGGAATCCGGAAAGTGAGGGCGGAACTGTGAATTCGAGAGTACCTGGCTCGACGTTGGAAGAGGGTGCTGTTTTTCCTCAGCACAAAACTGCAGAGCGCACAGCACGATCTCCATGAGGCTCTGCCACAATTTGGACTCTTCGCCCTAAGCTGCCCGCCCCCCACAACTCAAACACCAAAAGACTCGCCTAAAGACCTCATAGCAACAGCAGCAGCAGCAGACCTGTACTCATCGCTGACCCCATAACCAAAACAAATGTCCGGAATGTCCTCCAGCACAGCCGTGGCGCACTCGTTCATCAGGTGCAACGCCTGCTCGTCGTTCGGCTTCTGGAACCCGTGCACCTGCGCAAAGCGAGTGAAGCCTCGCCCGTCCACTCGGATGACGATCCAAGTGTGCGGCAGCAGCGCGTCGCTCTGCTCGAACGATTTCACGTACTCGTACTTGCTATTCGCCATGCCTGCTCTCTCTCGATGGACGACCACGAAAATTGCCTCTACCTAAATCCCTAAAACCCCAACGGTTCTCGTGCTCGATGCATTTGGCCAGCCAGCTGACGGACATTCAACAGCATTCTCCTCTGTCTGGGACCGCGGGTCGAATGCGCTATTCTTGCTCAAGCTCCGAGGCGACGAGGTTTATTAAATTCTTATCGAGGTTTCTTGAATTCGTTTTAGATCACAATGTGGAATTATTCAGACACAAGTTTCGAAATATGTTTCTCCGGATGATTTGTAAAGCAATTCAGTTTCAGATATCGTTATTTGACTATCAAATGTGTAGTTAGATGGGAAAAAAACTTTATATTAAAATGGACAAAAATATAAAATTAAATAAAATTTTAAATGCCATTTTAGTTTAGAACGTTTCCATTCACACCACAGTTTGACTGGCAAATTGTGGTTTTTGAGACTGAAATGTTTAACAAATGAGCCGGAGAGAGATATAATGAAACTGGGATCTCAATATCTCCAGACGAATTAATACTATGTACAAACTGTCTGGAGACTAAAAGAAAAGGAAATTCATTATTCCCCTCTCCGGTCCTTTTCCTCGTTACGTGTGGTTAGGAGACCAAAGGGGGCTTCTGATGTGTAATCTAGAACTGTATTTTGCCTTGGCTCCTCAGGAGCAAAAATGCAGGAACTCGTTACCGTACTCGTTACTCGGAGTATAAACAATGTACCCTTAGAGTGTACATTGTTCTTCGATAGCTCCATGGGACGATGGAAAGAATGATCTTGGATAGCTGCTGAAGCTCTCATCTTTGGCTTAAATGATCTTATGATATTTTCTCCGGGGAGTTTTTTATTTGGTTGCAATGAACTTGAATGTGAAAAGATGAGGAACAAATTGTGGAAATAGGAGCTGACAACAGGATCTAGATTTATTACATATAATAAAATTTTATGAAATATATGGAGTTCTCCTAACAATCAAAGGGAGTTGATACAAGATGAAGATAAAGAGTCTCAATTTGATATGTAGTGGATTCCTACATGTCACTTTGAACAATTATATGTTTGTGGCGTATCGAACCATCAACAACAGTTTAGATAGTGGTGAGATATTATATATATATATATATATATATAAGAGAGAGAGATGTATGTATCTAAGGATTTATCAACTTGAGAGATATGTATTAATGTCATCTAATGTATCAATGTCATCTAAGGGCTGACTAGATTATCGTTCTAGTAACCTAGTTATATTACAAGATGAGCAATCTGTATGCTCATAGTGATGTATGGTTTTAAACCTAAATCTTTTTTAGATAACATGTAAGATGGTATGCATTACCATCATATAATATAGCAACACCAGGATGCAATATGCATTGCTATAAACATCGTCAAATATGAAACTAGTCTACAGAAACTGTATGATGAATAATAGTTTCATCCTTCTATGTAATGTAATGAAAAATGAAAGCAAAATGTATATGCTTGACAATTGAAACGTATGCATATGAAAGGGTATTGCCAAAATTCATATAAATGTATAATAGAGAGAAAAGTATTCATATTTCAACATACTTATATTCATGAGGAATATGTAAAATGCAAAGATTAAGAATAGCTATTGTAATAAAACGATAATAATTTATATACTTGCAACAAGAATATCTTCATTGAACTTAATTAAAAGCAGAATCATTGAAAACAAGAACAAAAGAAATATTATAGGTAAAACAAACGAGACTAATGATAGACGTATTCCTTAGATTTCCTATTCAGCATCAAACATTGTATTATATTTTTAGGATTAAATCATCGCAAATAAAGAACTATTTAAAAAAAGATTCATCTACAATTTGTAGTTTTCAAAACTAAAATAGGAAGCTTATTTCCAAACCCAAAAAAATGAAATATATATCAAATATAGTTCATAAATATGAAATATCATATTATGTTCTTAGTCTAAATCTATTGCAATGAGATGAAAATAAGTTCCAAAAAAAATTCATGTTGAAACATTTAACGTTTAATAGTTGAATTTTTATTGAAAAAATACTTCTAAAAATTAATTTTCAAATGAGAACTAATTTTAAGTTACTTATACTCATGTTTTATCAGAATCATTATCACGAATGAAATTATAAAATGTAGAAACATTTTAGTTCATAAATTGTTATATGATTTTGGATTCAAATGTTATGTAAACTTATAACATTAAAAAATAATCATTACACTCTCTTATTGAATGATAAACCTAAAATATATAAAATAATGCATGTTGAAAAAAAGCAACACACCTTGATATTCTCAAGTTAATATAATTATTATAATTAAAAATTATGAAGCTACATTGTTTCAAAAATTAATAACATCTATAATTGAAAAAACAAAGAAAACACCTCTTGCTCAAAAAGACAAAACACTACGGGGTCATCACAAGATGTAATATTGCACGTTATGACCTAAAAAGTAATAATAAATAATAAAATTATTAATTATTACTAATCAATAATTAGTAATTAATTATTAATTTATAATAAAATTAGTCATATGACATATACAAACTATGTCATATGATTAATTTTGACAAACTATGTAACATAAAACATTGGATGTCCATATCCATGACCATGAATTTTGATTGGGATAATTTTCATCGGTTTTTATTCTGGGTGGGTATAGATGGACATAGCTTCAAAATGCGTACAATAATCAAAACTGTTTGAAACCTGGACACGTCACTAAGTCATAGTTCATTATATCACGTTAGTTATAGCTCGTTAAGTATTCACGTAGAGATGAATAACGAGTGCCAACTTTATTGTAGATGAAACAAAACTGAGAGTCATAGCTCATTATATCACATTAATGATAGCTCGTTAAGTATTCAACGTAGAGATAAATAACGAGTGCCAACTCTATCATAGATGAAACAAAACTGAGCAATTTCAACTTCATATTGTCGATTTCGGACGTGGAGAGCATGATCAGTGTTTTGTTAAGGCTTATTTTCAAAATGCCACTTGTGGCGTTTTGCCCCCGCGAAATTAATATTGAAACCGCCATGATGTGGCGGTTGGATAGCCATTTATTATTTTTGTTCCAGCCACATGTGGCGTTTTGGTTGCATTGCATTAAATTTCTGCTGCCATAACTAGCTTTAGCGTTTTGGTTGGCTTTCATCAAACTCCTGCTGCCACAGGGCAATTTTTCTGCACATAGGGAAGTCAGACACGTTCCTATATGCCTTTAATGTACCAGTCTAATCCGCTTGGCTATCGACTCCTCCTAATACATGCGACGCTCTTTGGCTGCCTCCCATTTTGCCAACGCAACTAGATATCTGAAGCTGTGCAATGTGTAAGACGATCGCATAACTCGAACGCAGACATTGAGGTGCTTTGGCCCTATGCGTTTGCGCTTTTTGTCTATGATGTAGTTCATAGCAGAGAACACACGCTCGTTCTTCACATAGCCTATTGGAAGAACTAGCATAATTGTTGCCAACTTGCAGAATGCACTCAATGTGTCTGACAAGATGTCATTTCCAAGAATACTCTTCCAAAAACATTGAGTTGTGCTCCGATGGCTGCCCTCCTCGACAACATTTTGCATGAGAGCCTTGAAGCTATACTCATACAACTCTCCCTCAGTACGATCTACTAAGGCTAACACTTCTTTCTCATTGGCCAGTTTGATGATCTTCCCATATCCGTTGTACAAGATGTTCAGCTTGATACCAATATCTTCATTAGAAGGCTTCTTCAACCAATAGAGTGGCTGCAAAACAACAAAGGCCTCAAGTACTTCAACCCGAAGAAACATCCTTTTGAGTTCAGCCACTAACAACTTGACAGTGTTTGTAGCTAATTTTTTTGCAGTACTCTAAGCTCCATGAAAGCAACTCTCAGTCACCATGGTAATTTTTGTGTTGATTTGCTTTAGTCTTAGGCATTGTAAATGTGTTGGTGATGTCGTGCATGGGCACATTGTACACCTTGGCATTGGTGTCAAACTGCAAAGTGTCATCATCACTCCAACACTTTTTGTTGGAATCTTTAAAGTTCATGTCATTGCGCAAGGCGTTGATGAGAGATGTATACTCCGTGATGATGTTCGACAAACAGCACTTTGTAACACTAGGGTTTAGAGAGAAGCTCACTCGAAGATAGAAAACGTAAACTCTATAGATGAGTGATACCAACAATGGTTCTTCTCTCCCTTATATAGCTCTCACCAACAAGTATAAGGAGATAAGATTTAATCCCCACCATCTATCCCACTCATGGTGGATGGATGACGTGGCAGATAACCCTAACAAGCACACGGATCGCTGACGTGACGCTCCCAACTAACACACTAACTAACACACTCAATCCTTACCTACAAGCACACAGATTACTAACGTGGCACTGTCAACTAACACATCCATTTTGTACCTACCAAGTGCGCGAATTGCTAACGTGGCAGCTATGACTAGTGCACACTAAAGTATCTATATTAATTTTTAGAGTAACCTCTACTTTAGTTCTAACTAACTAAAGATGGTTACATCCTTCACAAATAGCCACCTAACATCATGCACGCGGAGCATGTGCAACCCGGGTGTGTTGCAAGCATTTGCATGATACTTGAAGCTAACCCAACGTTGAGGTGATCTAGCAAAGTACGAATGAGCACCCTTGACGGCTGCCTCAATATGTACGTATAGAGCATTCTCATTGATCACACCACCCACAAGAGCAGTGTAATGATCTGCACAATGAACTAGCAACATGGCGGGAGCCACTTGGCTAACAAGCTGTGTTGCTACCCGACATGGCAGCCCATCATGGTAGACGCATCATCATTGCCAAACACAACAAGCTTGAAATCCAAATATGCGTGACACGTTTTGGACAGACGCCAACAGTGCTTTGGTAAGAGACGTAGCATTGATATTGGTGAGTGGTTGAAGGATGAGGAATTCATACATGCGCTGGCTGTCCTCGATGAATAAATGCCATGGGACATATACTCAGTAAGATCACATGCGCTTCTGTCATCGATGGTGAGGACGATGATGGAGGAGGCATTGACACGATGCTTGAGTTTCTTTACTAGGACTGCATATAGGGCATCAGCCATTTTTCAGCCATAATCATCTATTCAATGGGAGCTATCAATATGCTTGCAGCCAGCAGTACGGAACAGGTCTGCGATATCAGGAAAGCTGCAAACGAGATAAATTTGTGTAAGCCACAGTTCAACTACGCTTTGAGTAACAACAAGAGCGTTGTTTTCTAGAGGCAGTAAGTTGCACATCTAATATAGAGGCCGGGTGGACTACTAGCAACAGCCCACAACAAAGACTTACTCGCTCATTGAACGCCCCTTGAGCAAAAGGTAGACAATTGCTTGAAGCTGCACCAGCTTCTTACGTTTTGGATCGTCATGGATGACGTTGATGATAGCCTGATTGTCTTGTTGTTGGAGTTGATGGAAGGGGCTGAAGCAGCAAGACAAGGTCAGCAGCTTTAACCTTAGCAAGCGGGGTCCAATGATAGCAGGCAGTAGCAGAAGCAAGTCAACTCTGACAAACATGGAAGCAACTAGTGGGGTTCATACATGACAACTTCTTCGATGTCCATCTTGTCGCATTGAATCTGGGCGTTCTTATGAGCTATTTTGTTAGCGTGCATTTTCCAAGTGTCAAGCTTGAGCATAGATGTGCCGACTGCCATACCACTTTTAAAACTAGCTCTTTTACACACCTCACAGTGCGCAACCTTTGTAGTGCTGTTGAAATGCAGCCAGATATACATGATAGTCAAGGCTGATTTGAACTGCTGGTTGACGTTAGTTGTAGCATGATTACGCTTTGATTTCTTTGTAGCCTGCTGGTTCTCAGCAATAGGTGTCTGGACGGCAACACCAATTGTACCATGCGATGCAACAGGTGTAGTAGCCTGATCTAATGCGGTTGGCTGAAAGTTGTCAGTCGGTTTGGTTTGTGCATCCCTACATCTAGCTCCAAACTGGAGTCAAACTTTTTGAATGCAAGGAGTACGCTGACCAAGAAGGGGTTAGTGCTTAAGCTTGCAATAGTGTGCGAACTTTTGTTTGTCATATCCAACCAAGACTCGATGTAGGCTGGTAATGCATATTACACAATTTTTGAATACATGGGCGCAATTCGTGAAATAGAACATAGATGAGCACATGTAATGCTATGGATGGGCATGCCCATGCCATGCGACGCATGCCCATCCATGCGTCGCTGCTGATGGTTATGGTGTGATCTGGGTTCAAATTTGAAGTGAAATGTTGGACTCTACTAGGTATTATATAGTGTTGGATAAGTAATGTAACTACAATTTGTTTACCTTGAATGAAAATATAGACTAAAATTCTAGCTATATGATGTTGATTTTACCTCATCATGCAAAAGATTTCATCAATCGCGTTGTCATGGTTAGCAACCTTTTATCCTCTTCTCTTGACATCTGGCGTCTTCAAAACGATTTTAGTATTTCCAAGAGCTAGGTTGAAGTGCAACTTATCATGCAGCACAGGAACAAATGATGCTAATTTGTACTATTGGTTCATTTGCAACAAATGTTGTAAGAGTACTCGATTGTAAGATATAGAAAATTGATACGATATAAACGTTATTAATATATTATTTGCATTGAGTTATAAAGAATTATCAATAATGCATAATAATAATTTGATATATGTATAATATAATAATTGCATTATCAATAATGCAAGAGATCTATTAACTATTTTAGGCTATACGAGTTATCAATTTCTAAAGTATTTCAATTTACAAACCATATTTCCCTTCATTAACAAAGAGAAATGCCTGTCGATCCACTGCTCACGGCCCTCATGCTTGCCAAATGGGTGGTCCGATGAATGCTCAGGCACATGGGCTGGTGAAAGATGCACCCCCTTAAATTGCTAACACCTGCAATAATAATCCTTTTTGGCTTCTTACAATCTTTTCTGTGATGGATTTGTATTTTTCCTAGATTGCTTCAGAAGCAATCGAGGCTGAAATCTCGTCGTTGGCTCTTCATGATCCATGATCTGTGGAATATACTTGAAGAGATGCGGGAATGCACCTTCTGGCAAGATCACAATCAGAAAATCTGCTAGTTTGTAACTCAAGATGCGAGGCTGAACTCTCGTCATGTTCCTCTAAGGAGTCAACAGTTTGTAACACATAGCCTCTTTCATCAATTACGAGATCCATGGGTTCTCTGTAATAATCTGTGATTTGGATGGTCTGCTACTTTCCATGGTTACATCTCAACTCTAAAACAACGACGAAAACGTGAGCTTAAAAGTGAGTAGAGAACTTGAAAACAGAAGCTGTAGAGACTGAGACTATCTTACCATGCTTACATTTTAATTCTGAAGTCATCGAAGAAAAAGTGAGCTCAAAAGTGAGTGGAGATTCCGAATACAGAAGCTGTGGAGACTGAGGTCATCCTTCAATGGTTACATCTAATTTTTCAAGATAGCGAAGAAAAAGTGAGCTCAAAAGTGAGTATAGATCCCCAATACAGAAGCTGTGGAGGCTGAGGTCATCTCTCCATGGTTGCATGTCGATTTTGAAGGCCACGACGAAAAAGTGAGTGAAAGTGAGAGGAAAGTCCCAGTACAGAATCTTTGGAGACTGAGGTCATCAAGGAGCTCTTGGCGAATCGAAGGAGATGAAGATGCCTGAGGCTGGTAAAAGCTAAGAAGAGTCCATCTTGACAGGAAAAAGTGTAACAAGTTGTGAAAATTCCCTTGAAAAAGTGACAACTGTCGACGTCTGAACATCCATCCGTTTCTTTTGATCCGCAATTTCCTACGCTAGCATCTCTCTCTCGACATCTGTGGTAGCTCAATCCAGGCAAGCATCAGATGCATCCCCTCCTTCAGACGTAATCTGCACATCAACTCGTCTGTACGAGTCTGGTAATACTAAGGTCAGAGGTGGCATATAAGCGAAGATTGCGAACATCAGCATTGAGATGTGTAGCTTCTTCAGCTCTCGCATCAGACTGATAATAAGCTCCTGGACTGTACTTCAGACTTAGATCCCAGACCCGAGGTTCCACGAGACAATCTCCAACCTTCTCGCCATCGAAGTACAGCGCCAAGGTGCGGGAAGGTTTGTCAAAAACCCAGGCTACATCGAACCACTGATCATACGGTATGGGAGAGGTCGAGTACAGATTGACCAGAGTGATGTCCTGAGGGACATTCCTGCGTAGCACCACACCGAGTCTCGAATTCTCCAGTTCGGCCAAGAACTGCCAGTCTCCATGACTCCAATCGGCGAACATGAATTGCCTGCCTGGAGTTCCTGATGGGACTCGGAGCGAGAATGTGACTGTAAAACTTATGAATCGAAAGTCCAGTCGAGGAAGATCCAAGTATCCCGGTGCTCGGACGCTGATGTAGTCTTTCACCAAGCTCACAGTGCTTCCCTTCACCACAGCAGGACCTCTGGAGTAGGGCGACACATCGTTCAGATGCTTGTCGAATGGCCAATGGGCCAAGAGCAGAGGTTTGCCATACCCTCGAAAAACCAAATCTCTGTTGGGCACTGGACGGTCTGGAGGGTTGTAGAGAAGTCCACCTGCATAGGAATTCGCACACGAAGCAAAACCTGCAGAAAGAATGGTATCGGGAACCTTGAGCTTCAGCGTATAAGCACGATCAGCAAGCAAGGTGATCGGCTCACTGAAGGAGAAAGAATACCATCCTTGCTTTAAGGAGGAGGAGGATGGCCCAACAGCCTTTGCTGGTGCTGATGTTCCCAGCTTCGAACCTCCAGGCCCCTCGCTCTCGCGCAGTTCTACACTGAACCGAGAAAAGTTGGAGCCCAAGTTGTAAAGGAGAATGTCGATCTTGTCCAGAGCAGAAACGGAAGCCAGTCTAAAGCTCTGGCCGATGCCACTTTCCACTGGGACATTCTCGTCGCAGCCTACGCTGTCTACGTACACGAGCAAGTCTGCTCTGAGAGCTGCAACCGAGGCCAGCAGTAGTGCACAAAATAGGGCGCATTTGACATCCGGACACATAATGAATGTCGTCAGCGCTACTCTGTCTGATGATTGCGAAGCTCTAGAGAAAACGAGTCCGAGGAAATGAGATTGACGAGAGTTGATTGAGAGGAGACACGAGGGAGCAGTTAATGAGATTGTGGTCAAGGGGAAATGAGCACGGATATTTAAGAGCCCTGCCTGTACTCTGTCCAGCACACAGCTCCAGATTCTCAGAAGTGGGAAGTTTGCAAAGATCTTGATCTTTGGACAAGATCTTTATGTGCCATGAGGAACATCAACCTGGAGATTGACACAAATACTCGCATACGGAAGACAGTACGATTTTTTCAGATGTCGTGCAGTGATATTTCTCACCAGGTTGAAGCTCGCATGTCTGCGTAAAGGTCAAAGCCAGTTCACGGTTGCCAACTAAAATATATTGAATTGCACGTTTTTCTTGCTGACTATCCACAGCCTGGCTGGCTGGAATGCGTTCCGAATGTCACTCAAGACAAACAGATTCCAAACATTTCGAATAGAGAGAACAGAAATCATTGACAGGAGTATACTGGATTTCGCCTTTCATTTCGCATGATTTATGGAGAAAATGAAGGGAAGACCTTATTGCGCTTATTGAACAAGAAATAAAAACACGAACAGATCCTTAAGAATCGGCTTTTGAAGGTAGTTTCTGGCTGTTGGTTCTCGTCGAAGGAGCGCCACAGGCTTGAGAGCTACAGCGCGACAATTTCGAGACCTTTAAACAATTTGTGCCCAATCGCCTGCACACATCAGTCATGGAAACTGGCCGTGCAGAAAATGTCCTCTGTTGATACCAGTTTGGGTCGAGGCATCTTTCTATCCCCAGTAGAGTTCTGCCTACTGTCCAGGTTCATTGGGAGGAACTTTTCACAAGCTCTGATGCACCCGGCCTTATCTCGCTCATGTTGGATCCATTCAGAACGAACCGCGTCCAGGTAATGACCAACAATTGTGCGTACAATCTGGATATGAAGGTCGGATTTGACTTAACAAATATCTCTGAGGATCAACACAGTTGAGGTGCAGCACGATACGCCAGTTTCCTAGAAGCTTGTGCCCTCTTCATGGAATACTGGAAGCACATTTGAAGCAAACGCGAACATTACTCATTCAGCTGATGCAATCATGCACTTGCTTCAACGCAAAATTTACGCAAAATTCACAAAATTATCAGCTACTCATCCATCCTTCCTTTATCGCTCCCTGCACTCTCTGCCTTCTGTTTTAGTGGTTGGTTCTCGTCTGTTCAAGGTAAGAATGCTCATGACCAGATACTCGTTTGTTTTGCTGCTGCTCTAATTAGAGTTAGAATTAGAGTAGATGAATTTGACAAGCATTTGAGAGAAAAGTCCATCCATCACATCCGATTCGTAAATCCAACAGAATTGAGGAACATAAGCAGGTGACTGCCACATTTCAAGCCTGCTTTTTTCACATCTAAACCTTCTCTGAGGACATTTGAGCTGGTGATCAGGTTGACACTGTTCCAAATAGAAATATATAGAAATCCTTTCGAAATGTTCAGAACTCCACTCATCTTATCCAGTCAGTAGTATCTCGTCAGCGCAAGAACAGCGGTTGAAAACCTGACAGAGGTGACCACTCGGAGCAGCCGCATGAACCAAATACAGTTGTTAGATTCAGTCCAACCAGTTCGTGAGTGACAGCAGCGGTTGAAAGAGAAGAAATGGGGACCACCATGAGACCACTTCTTCTAGAACTCATCTCCGAGCAGCATAAAGATCTGTTATGCGGTCACCTACAGTTCAAAGTATGGACAAAGCACAACAGCAATCGTCTCCTTTCTTGCAACTGAAGACTGTAAAATCTAGAAGAGTATAACGGAGTCGGTGTGCAAGGTTGTCAATGGTCGTTGTCTTCACAAGAATGACTCTAGTACAGTTGGACATGAAGGAGAATGTTAGGTCCCTGATTGAATTTGGAAATTCTTACGCTTGAAGGGGACCACTCGAGAACCTGTTCATGAAGTAATGCCTCTTGTTTTTAACTGATTTGAGGTTTAGGGTTAACACTGCGTGAAAAAAAAAACTGCCAAAAGAGACAAATGGTTTCAATGTGGATCAAAGTGGTGGAGTGGTGGGACTGAGGTCGGCGAGAAGAAATTAAAGCTGAGCACGATGGGCCTAGATTCTCTCGACGGACGTTCGGATTTCTCTATCTCGCTAATTTCTCATTTATGCATTCTTTCTCTGATTGGGTTGACTGACGATCACCGATTTGGCCATTAGCGCTACGGCAGCCATAGATCTTCACACAGGTGTGGGTTTACAACTCGAAATTTGGACATGCAAATGCTGATTACTGCAGTATCTGATTCGGATCTAAGAGTTGTATGCCGGGCGATGTTTGATGGTGGGTGGCTGATCCCATTCGAAGCATCAAGACTTTGGATCTCGACCCTATTAGGGATTCCGGAGATGGGTCGGAATCTCAGCATGATAAAGAGGTGAGCATCATGGGTCTAAATCTTTTGTAAGCGATGATCAAAGAAGGGGTGGGGAAGTAATGTGCACCTGGAGTGCACAGATCAACATTGCCTGTTTCCCTGTTCAGGTGATTGAGAATGGGAAAAAAGAAATCTAGATTCACGTCATTGTCCACCGTCAGAAGAATATCAGCTCTGAATAACAACTGTACAGAAAATAGATATGAAAGACTGGTTTTCTCAAAAAATTAATTCTTCATCAGATCTAGATCTACTCTGAGCCCGAACCGATGACCAACAGTATTGAGAGCACGAAATAATGGCGACAGTGAGAGCGGGCCCGGATGCCGAATTGAGTTCGCTCATGTTCCATCGGAGAAAAGAAAGAGACGAGATGAAATCGCATCCATTTGAGAGGCTCAAGAACCGACCAATTGAGGGCTGAAAAATTTGAATCTTGGGTTCCAGGTCTCCATTCCCTCCCTCCATCCCTCCCTGAGAATGGTCGACCCTGTATAGACAGACCCCTGTCCGGATTCTACAAAGCTCTTGAGCTCCTCCTGGAGCACCTCGCGGCCGTCGGTCAGTGAGAATCGTGCTACGAGAAATTGGCGATCTCCATGTTCGGTCCGCGCTAAAGCGAGAGCGAGAGAGAGATTGATGACAGGCGCGATCGGTCACAAGCATCGAGCTGAACCTCCTGCGCCCTCCCTGCAAGTCAGTCACATGCCCAAATCCCCCTCCAAGAAAGACGCTGACCGATGGCGCGCTCACGTGGGCAGCCATGAGACGTCACGTCACAGTACAGTACGTTAAACACACAGCACAACAGATGCAATGACCCCTCGCATTCAAACCCGCAGGGCGCCAGATCCGGTGGCACTTCCCGGACGACGCGGCTCGCAGTTACCGAGCTTCTACCTCGACTGGGCCTTACGTCGACCCGGTCATGCTGGTAGGTGATGATTCCCAAACGACAGACGTGAGATCGAACCCCGTAGGGACAAAATAGAAGTCCAACCACGTTAAAAGAGCAGACGCTGGGATGTATCTCAGCAAACGTCGCAAGCCTGGCAGCGAGCTACTTAAAGTGTACATTAAAGCTGCAAAATCTATGTCGGATGCAAATTGTGTGTTATAATTTTTTTTGTTTTCTCCGCATATAATACGTTTACCTCAAGGTGTGTGGGAAAATAGAAAAAATTATGCAGAACCCGCGTTTGTCTTTTGTTATGAGTAAAGATGGTTGTTGGAGTGAAGTAATATTATTTCGTCCATGTGACTGAAGGCGCAAGAAATTGCGTGCTTTAAATGGTGTATCTTGGGTCTCAAGCGACTGATTAAAAATTGGTGAGCTTGTCAAGCCAGTGGTACCCAAGGGCAAATATATAGCCCCGACAAATGTCTCTCGGCGCTTACTGGAGCGCATGGGATCCCGCGGTCACTGCAGCAAGATCGATGGCGCCTGACCAGCCCCCGAACCTGGGTTAGGCAGACGGAGGCCCGTCCGTCCGTCCGCCCACCTGCCGGGCCACCTGTGGTGATGCTCAAGAGACCGGCCGGCGAATGATTGACGTCAACTTTATCCGAAGGCGCTGCGCTGCCCGAGACGGTCGTCCGTCACGAGCACAACCGGGACCGGCGTGAGCAAGCGGCCGGCCGGGCCCAAGGTTAAAGATAGCCGGGCCGGAGTCGGGAAGGCCCCTCCGTGGCGTGCCGGGGAGGAGGAACTCGACCGTCGACGGGAGGGAATGGGGGTGCCGACGTGGCCTCCCGTCCCAGGCTCGGGGCCGGCCCGCGGAAGGAAGGGAGGAAGGAAGGCAAGGCGCTGTCTTCTGGAAAATGGCACCGTTGTCCTCTAGCCCTGAATTCGGGGGAGCGCAGGGGCCGTTCCGAGCTCACCTGCAGCGAGATCGACTATTACGTCCAAATTTAGCTCAAGGGGCTTGGCAGGATGCAAGTCAATCGAGGGGAACGATGCACCTGCGGCGTCCCGAGCGCCCTTTGTTTTTATTCAGTGGCCCGACGGGGCCAAGAGATCGTCCCCGAGAGAAGGCCCTGGCCTCCTCTCGGAGACGATTCCAGTGCGGAAGTGCATGCATGGATCGAGATCCCGGGGGTTGACTCGGGTACAGCAATTATTTACAATACAGGGCAAAGAATCGTGCGGAAATCTGCCCCACCCGCCCTCCATCCCCCTCCCTCCCAGTAACGACGGGTCGGAAATTCCACAGCGATCGATGAGCCGAGGAAGAGGGGCAGCTGCGGGTCCAGGAAACTGGGGAAGAACAGTGCGATCTGAGACGATTCAGTGATCGATAAATGGCCGCGACTGGAAATGGTGCCAAGGCCAAATGCGGGAGGGGAGCTCAATCATTTGATTCGCTGAAATTGTGTGGATTGGATCCATGAAAGGGGGGAGGGGCAGAAGCAGGTCCGCATGCCACGCAGAGGGAGGCAACAGTGCGAGCGAGAGCATTAATGATTTCGAGGTGCGAAGATGGAAGATGGAACCGGTAAAGTAATAAAATTCATAAATCAACTGATAAATCCAGTCGATCGAATCACTGATCCACCTTTTCTTACGTCGCGAGAGGCACCAGCAATCCTATCTGGAAATGTACGATCTGGCTGTGGCAGACAGATCGTCTTCCCATGTCCCCCAGCCTGAGCTGTTTCCTGACCTTCTTGCGAGAGCTGCCAGCAAACGCAAAGGCTCGTTGAATGTGCGCAGTTTTAAAGTTCTGTCACGTATCCCGAGGGAGGAGGAGGACTGTGGCTGGATTCTGTATATATAGGTTGAGAACATCACAATTCGTTTGATTTGTTGGAGTTGTGAACATCCCAACCAACCGCTGCGCAGCTGTGCAGCTCCCACCACCCACCCACTACTAGCACCACCCACGGTGATGAAAGATTTTGATGAGGGCCTCTCGTAGCTTTGACACACTGATTGATCGATCGTCGATCCCAAATCACACAAATATATTTTCGATCGTCACTCGTTTTAAATTTTAATCCTCATCGCCACCGTTCCGTTGCCATCTGATTTCGATCTGTAGATTATCTGTCTAGGAGTCAGTCACATGTACAGGAAGTGGATGCCACCTGGAGCTGAAGGAATGGGAAGAGGATTGTGCATTCGAATTCTGTGCTTCGTCTGAATCATGGAGATCAGTTCTTACCTTTCTCCTCAGATCTGTCTCTACGCTGCCGCAGCCAGAAGCACGGCCTGGATTCGAGTCTAATTGCCGATTTATAAATCATATCCGTCTCCCCGGGATCAAGGTTGGCAAGAACCAGTTGAGACTGACCAGTGGTGACTGGGTAGCAGATTGATTCGACAGGTTCTATCACAATTCTGCGATCCGATGTGAATACATCTGTAGCATATTAGTTTCGCAGCAGCTGCTTGGCCTTCGGATCCATCCTCAATTACTGTGTGCAGAGAGTGCTGATCATTAGACACTATGCTAGCCGTCGATGAACCGACAGAGAAGCCTCCGACATTGCTGCGTCTGAACTCGTCACGCGGACTGAATGTGGCCTATGAGCACAGCCACAGTCCTCAGGTATTCATTGAATCAGGCACACGCGTTCGTTGGTCATAAGCTGAATCATGAGGGAGATTCATGCGTCATGATTAGCTCATTTGGCTTCTGTTGCAATTCTTTGAGCTTGCATCGCATGGGAACTCGGATGCTGATTCCCAGATGGTGAAATGGCAGAAGTTGATTGCGATAAGTCATGGATTGAATTGGCATAAGCTTTCTTCAAACTCCAGTGCTATGGATTTCTAAAGCAGGCGGTGGATCTCCACCAAGCTGTCATCTTTCGGTTAAATTTATGTTTTCTGTCTGCAGGGTTCAGACCATGCCTTCGAAGATGACATTGGGTTCGAGTCGTTTCAGAGAGCAGTTAAAGATGCTATCAATCTTGACAGCTATGCAGTTTCTGCATACGATACTGCGTGGGTGGCAAGGATTCCGAAGGCACTAAAAGGAGGCAGACCGGTACCGCACTTTCCCGAAGCTCTGCAATGGGTCGAGCGAAACCAAATGGCTGATGGATCATGGGGTGAACAACAACCCCTGACTGTTTTCGACCACTACTTCTCAACTCTGTCGTGCTTAATTGCACTGAAATCGTGGGATACAGCTCCCCAATGTGTTTCGAAGGGTAAGAGCAAAGTACTGTGATTCAGCATATCTGACAACCATGTTATGCTGATGAAAAATGAATGAATCCATTGGTTTGGGATATGTACTCTTCTTAGGGCATCTTGCAAGTTTCTAGTCATTCGCCTTAAAAGCCGTGTGCTTGTGGCAGGAGAGCAGTATCTCCAGGAAGGTCTATCGAGTATTAAAGACGATGAGCTGAAGTATGTGTCCCACGGCATGAAGAATGCATTTGCTGCAATGTTGGAAGAAGCAGAGAAACTGGGCTTGACCATAGCTCCTGCTGCAACTCCACCATGCGTAGAAAGTCTTCGCTCTGATCGCACCAAAGTTTTGGAAAGGTGATTACTCGTAAGCGTCGAGATCATGATCATGCACCTCAACTAGAACCTTACAGAACTAATGACTTGCTACTCACATGCGTCTTCTAAGAAAGATGAGAAGCTGTAATCCTCTGGCTGTTTACCTTCGATGCTACACTAGTCCTAGCAACAGCGCCAGGTCCGAAGTGTACTTAATGCAGTCCACGATTTTCTAAGGCCCCGATTTATAACTTCGATGTATCACTTTGCCCTCTTTTGACATGCCAGTACCTTGAACTCCAATCCTTGAAACTACCCTAATCTTCGTACATAAGCACAATCTCTCGAATCCTAAGGCTTTGTTTTCATTCACAGGTTGGAGAAAATTGCTGACCTCATTGCAGACTGCCCCAAGAAGCTCCTGAGCTTTCCAGAAGGTTTAGAACCAGTCTTGGATTGGGAAGGCATTCGCGAACTTCAGTTTGAAGATGGGTCTATTTTCTCATCCCCAGCTGCGACTGCCTGCTTTGTCATGCGAACAAAAGATTCCAAGGCACTGAGCTACCTGACAGCCCTGATTGGGAGATTCAACGACGCAGGTAGTTATTTCTTGTCTTGATTTTTCTCCTCTTCGTAGATATAAGTGATCGTCAGAACTTGATACTTGCCCCTTTAAATTCTTACTCTCTGAACTGGCATTGTCTAGTGCCTAGCATGTATCCGACTCCCTTATCGGAAGTGCTCAGCATAGTCGATCACCTCGAGCGCCTCAACATCGATCGCTACTTCAGCGCTGAAGTCAAGGATCTGCTAGATATACTCCACAGGTACCGTATCAATTCCTCTCATACATTTGTCGCAAAACAGCACTTCGTGCTCGAAATAATATCGATGACTGAAGAGAGACAATTCTTCTAGGCTAAGCATATCTTGGATACGGGTTTCCTCATCCAGCTGAGACAAAATTGTCCTATATGATTCTTTCCATCGTGCTTAGTTCTGGTAGGAAACTTAGGTCCAATAGGTCCGTCACGACCTTAATTCCCTCAAGTTCATGCCAGGTAATGCAAAGATTACTCTATTGAAATGAATCGTGTGCATACTAAGGCATACCTTCTGATTGGGCAGACAGAGTGAGCCCGATGAGGACGACAACGACGATGAGTCGTCAGACGACATTGAGACTCACGCAATGATCTTTCGAGCTCTTCGAGAGCACGGATATGATGTTACTCCAGGTACGAAATGAAAAGGAGAAGCAGTTTTGAGTTTCAAGGCTTTTCCTCGCTTGGTGAAGACTCCTCACTCTTCTGGGCTCAACGTGAATTCAGAGCTGATTTACTGTGAACATGTCGCTCGTCTCACAGATACCTTCCTTCTTGAGGGGATTAGCAATGGTCAGGTTGGTCAGCTTGGAGCCAGGGGCATGCTGCAATTATACCGTGCTTCAGAGATGATCTTCCCGGGTGAATTGCTCCTTGACTACACCAAAAACATCACCACCACGTTTCTGAAGTCCACTCTCGCTAGCAGCAGCGATGCTGCCCTCAAGAAAGAGGTAACCTTATGCCTCCCTTTCTCTCGATCGTGCTTCTGCCAGCTTGGAAAATTGATATACTCCGGTTCACCTCTAACCCTTTCTTTCCCGTGCTTCCAAATTTGTTCAAGTTGCTAGGACCTCAAAGGAGCATGTCACTTGGGAACGGAGAATTATCATAAACCTCCGTTCACGTCGTCAAAGAACCATGAATCCTCTGTCACTTTTTCTGAATATGTATAGCCCGAAGGACGAGAATTGCCGAATCGAACTCGCATCTGATTTACTGTGGAGGTGATAAAACACAAAGACAAGTCGTAATTGTACTGTCATGTAGAATGATGTTCTAACAAACATTTTTCTACTGCTTGAAACTTGAAGATTGAAGATGCTCTCCACTCCCCACATTTCATGCAATTCCGAGCATTGGAGAGCATGAAATACATAGACCGCTTTGAGGCCAGCGTGGAAGCAGAAGAAACTTATTTCGAGATGACATTTTCCAGGTGCTCATTATTTGCTGTGAAACAGAGCACCTTAACCTTAAAAATTGCTTCTCACGTTCAGGAAAAGTTTCGTCTACATTTGTAAGAATCAACCTTAGAGAATCTGAATGTGTTTATGTTTTACCGAGCGTGGGTCTTCATCTCAGTTCGTCTAACCTACTTCACGTGGGCACATTGGAGCAGGCTTATGCACAAACTCAACCCCCTGATGATAGCGTTTGCTAAAGTGAACTTCAACAATTGCCAAGCGATATACCAGGAAGAATTGCAGACTCTGACAAGGTTTATCGTCTTCCCTCTTCAGTCAATATTCTTTCGGCCACTGTCACAAAGTGTATCTTTACCGTAGAGAAGAGCGCATTTCAGAAACAGGTCGTGGAGCGAGAGAATTTTCAATAGATATGGATAACTTCGTCAGTGCCTCTGTATTGATGTGAACCTTCGTGATTTTGGATTAGATGGGACGAAGAAAACCTCAGAAAGCTCTACAACTTTCAACGTCAGCCATTATTACCAGCTTTCTTGGCAGGCGCGGTGGGCATGCCGGACCCCAAACTATCTCTTGCTCGATCAGTTTGGACCAGAGGTTCGGTGCTGGTTACGGTCATAGATGACCTCTTCGACGAAGCATCACTGCATGATGGAATTCAGGGTCTCAGACTCTTCCACGAAAGCATCAAACGGTAAATTACAGGTCCTCCAGTTCACAACTCAAAAGTTTTGATATATATTTTATCCCTTCCTTCAGTAGCCTGTAGGCCTGCTGGGTCTTCCTTCACTCATTTCTACAACGTATGATGACACCTTGGGATCAATGACATGCACGCAGATGGGATCCGTCAATCGTTGATACGTGCTGCGACTCGGTGAAAATCCTGGCCAGACTGCTTATGAACGAGGTTGATAGCTTGTGCAAGGAAGCGAGCGAGGCCCAAGGAAGGGACCTCACTCCTTTCCTCAGAACTCTCGTGAGTACAGTTTTCTTCACAACAACATCTACCTGTGACTGGAGTGACGCACATGCTGACTGTTCAGAAACACCCAATTGCTATGCCGCTTGATCATGTGATATGGAACTCGAGTTCCGTGTACCAGCTTTGATTGAGTGGTTACAAGGTTGTGATAGATGCTTTGTAGTGGCAAGATGTGATAGCGGAGTTTTTGACCGAAGCTGAGTGGAACGACTCCGGATATCAACCAAGCTCGGAAGAGTATCTGAGGACTGGAGCTATATCATTCGGTCTTGGGCCCATTACCTTGTACACTATATTCTGCTACGGTGAGCACATTTCCGATGATATGATCGAGGACGACGACTACTTGGAGGCCTTCGACCTCGTCAACCAGTACGGAAGGCTCATCAACGACCTCAGAACCCACTCCGTAAGTCCACAGTCTCCTCATATCTCAGGGCCCCAAACTCCAGCATAATTCAAACTCTGCTCTGCAGTGTGCTTGCGTATTTCACGTTTCTGGCCACATCATCTAGGGAATCTTGTCAGAAGCTGAATACATTTTCATATGTTTGATTTTTGCATTCTCCTGGGAAAGGGCATCATTCTACTGTGGCAGTGTGCTAAACGCGTCTTGACCTCATGTTTTGTTGCTGGCAAAGAGATAAAGCTGGCAATGAAAGCTGCTATGTACAAGAACTTTCTTGTTTCCAGCTATTCTTCTAACACGGGACACAAGGTATTTTGGCTATGACGGGCAAGTCCTAAAGATGAGAGTTCGTTGAGCTTTTTCATAATCTTCCAATTTGTGCTGAGCCATGGTACGCTCGGGGAGAGAAACTGAAAGCATATCGTATGAAGTAATCTGGGCTCTCTTTTCCATGTAGAAGATGTCCCTTATAATGTTTCTCGTCTCCTCCTGATAGCATCCCTGGAGTAGTCTTTCCGTGTACTGGATGCAACAGAGATGACTCGTGGGACACCTCAGTGTCCAAAGCATGTTCGGATGATAGGACTCAGCCAACATGTGCCACAGAAAGGTGACAACGTCCCAGGTTGCCAGGATTATCATCAAAGGTATTATCTACGATAATACCTTCGATGTTGTTGATGTCCTTTCGAGACTCAACAATGTGAATCACTAACCAACTAATCCATAGACCAATCCATGTGGGTTGCTGAAGAACTCCTTGCTGGAGTAAGGGTTTAAGGAACTTTGCGCATGAGGTCCATAGACCTGTGGGTTGCTGAAGCACTCTTTGCTGGAGGAAGGTTTTAAGGAACTTTGCGCATGAGGTTCATAGAACTGTGGGTTGCAGGGTTTAGGGTTTATCATCAAAGATATTATCTAAGATAATACCTTCGATGATGTCCGTTCGAGACTGAACAATGTGAATCACTAACCAACTAATCCATAGACCTGTGGGTTGCTGAAGTACTTTGCTGGAGTAAGGGTTTAAGGAACTTTGCGCATGAGGTTCATAGAACTGTGGGTTGCAGGGTTTAGGGTTTAGGGTTTATCATCAAAGGTATTATCTAAGATAATACCTTCGAAGATGTCCGTTCGAGACTCAGCAAGGTGAATCACTAACCAACTAATCCATAGACTTGTGGGTTGCTGAAGCACTCTTTGCTGGAGTAAGGGTTTAAGGAACTTTGCGCATGAGGTCCATAGACCTGTGGGTTGCTGAAGTACTCTTTGCTGGAGTAAGGGTTTAAGGAACTTTGCTCATGAGGCCAATAGAACTCATTACTCTTCAGGATTGAACCTGCAGTGGGCAAGGTCATGCCAGTGAATGTGATCTTTCGGGTCGAATGTAAGTTTAATGCAAAGCATATTGAGTGAGGCTGATAATGATTGGCATGGGTTCTGACTGATTCAGGGATGACGTGATTCTTGTGTGCAGAGAGAAGTGTTAGGGGGCCACAACTCATTCATCAGTGTGTACCAAAGAGAGCACCCCAAGGAATCGAAGCAAGAAGCATACGCAAGTGTGCAAAATGTGCTGAAGGGGTTGGCATCAAAAGTGTTCTCGAAATTGCTGAACCCAAGGTACAGCTCTCAATCGGTTAGGGAAACGCATTTGGTCATGATGCGGTCTCTCTACCTCATGTATTACGAAGTCGATGGCTACCGCTTTACCACTCACGAGCTCAAAAAGCAAATTCAACGCTTTTTCTACAAACGCTTCCCCAGCGAGTAGTGAATCGTCTTCACCAAACCTGTTGCAATCAGTGGTTTGTGCTGTGTGATAAGATCTACGGTAAAATCATGGCATCAAGAACCTTCACAAGAGGATCTGCCGATCCATGAATCTTTTAAAGGATCGTTGACAACTTGAAGGCAAAGAGTTCACATTTCACAACTGGTGAATCATCAGTACCCTCCTTTTTTTTTCAAGTGAGAGGTAAAATCACCGAAGGTGAAATTATGGATCAAAACATAAGTTTTAGACGGTCCATATTCCTATAGAGAGTTCTATGATTCGACGGGTTCATGGCTCTTTGAAACGTTGCTGCTATATGAGGGTCATATTTAGAGTTTTCAAACATAGTTCCCCTTTTCAATCTTCAGAATCTTCAACTCGCAGATTTGAAGGGTGGAAGCTGAACGAGGTCGAATTCAATTCCGCTTTAGAATCTTCAGAACCTCCACGTGAGTTGGTCGCAAGAGCAATATTTCTCAAACTATTACCCCTGATGATAATTTCTGTACACAGTATGATGAACTCCAGTACGGTTCGACATCTAAACCTGAGCGAGCGATCGAGAGACCAGACCATGTTCTGACACCATAATGTCACCATAATTTGAATTGTAAGTTAGTGGAATCTAATTTTTTTCTTCTTACTCGACGCATCTTCGTTCGTGTTAGTGTGCCAATCAGTGCACCATAGCCCCATGCCCCGTGCATCCACTATGGAGGAGAAGATACTTCCGTCTGCGATACTCTAAGAAAAGGGTGTCCATGAATTCATTGAGGGCTGCATTTTGCCCAACTGCTCTCATGGCTCACAACAAGCGTCGTCCATAGACTCAACACAGTCACGTCACTACGAGACCGGCACCAACGAAGAAACAATGTGTCCAGCCATCCGGAGTCTGATCTACACCTCGAATCTCTGCTGGCCATCGCTGCTGTATTTCCATGGCCCCTCGTCACCTCATCAGGCTCACAATAGCGCTAAGGAACAGCTCCTGCTCGACAATATTGCCAGCAGGCAATTAGGGCAAAGAGCCTGGAATCCGTGATCTGGATTCTCCACCATTCACTCCATCACATACAAAAACAGGCTTCCGGTAAAATGAAATAGCATGACCAGATTGAGGCGGTCCTCAAGGCTCAAAGGGCATGTCGATTTGACGAGGACGTTTCTTTCGATATGTAGCTCCAACTTCCATCGGACATCGGTTTATCAGTTGAAGCTTGAGTCTCAGAAAGAGATCTCGCGTGATCCCTATCAAACTCTTGTTCGTACACATTGTGATGGCAATTATTCGTGAACTCAATCTTCTGCAATCGAGCTGCAAGCAAACCTTCCTGCTTGAATTCACAGCCACATGTGACCTGTGGATTTGAGCGTTGGTAGCAATTCTTCTGATGAATGCGCAAATTCTGGAGAAGATCTCTATCGAAACAACGCAGAAAGGATGGGAAACGCGAGACTGCACATTCGGAAGAATTGTGAATGGAAATGTTTGGCATCCTTCAAACTAGAATAAATTCAGATACGCAATAGAAATACATTTACACATACACAGGTTTCTCCAGAGATCAGGATGATTTTAACTCTGGGTCAATGGAAGTCAAACATGTACGACATACCCATCGCTGGCCGTATGGTGAAGACGATGATGCAATAGATTGCATCGTCATTTGTCAGACTCGTAGGACCTGACTTTGATACAGGCCCACAACACACTTCACAGTTCTTTGAATCCTCGGTCAGAGCCAAAGATATCACTGGAGTCAAAATTCGACAGGAGGCTCTCAAGATGCGAGCTCTGTAAGATCATCATCGCACTTCGTCATGGCAAATCAGATCAGCATTCAAGATCAGCAAGCTGTAACTAGCAAACGAAGCAGCGTTAGTTGCTCTCACACTATTGGAAATCCTTTAGCACAACTAATTTCGAAGCAGATGCAGACTTTCTCGTCTGAATCTTGTGCTGAAACACATGAAAACGAATTTCACTTCATAACCAGATTTTGATGACCGAGATGTGGATTCGGATATAGATACATGGCATGGTTGTACTGGCGACATTATTTAATTCATTATCTAAAAAAAATTTAGTAAATTTTTTTTGAGACGAAATTAAACCTAAATTAACATTATAAAGAGACTAAATTAACATTAATTAATATTTTTGAGTAGATTAAATTAACCTGAATTATTTTTTTAACTAAATTAACCATATTTAGGTCATTTAGAGGAGTAACTATTATAATCACGCCTTTACATGATGTAATGTCTTCCATATTGGGTGTGTTCCCGTGTATCATGTTTTTAGCTTATTTTAGGTACAGTACCGTATTTACATAATTCTAGAGGTAACAATACCCAACGCTATGCCTAAGAAGTGTATCGCGTAATTACTACTAATTGTGAATCTCTCGATTTGATACAGACCACATATTGTGATTTCGGATGTAATTTTAGTCACGAAATTATCGTGACATAGCCCCTGGTTTCTGATTTCTTCCCTCCCTGGTCTTCTCATAATTTTAGTCACCCACTTTCCATGCACAGGAGTTGTCCATGCTAAACTTGTGCCCAACCAGTGACCGACCTGATGTAACCGCATCGTTCGCATTGCAACATCTTGGTGTGAAGGAAGGCGTGAAGGGGAGAGCTTCATCATCTTTGCGTGAGGTCAAGTCTGATCTCCATCTTTGCGGGCTTTGACTCTGTATGCTTGGGACACGATGAATGCAAGTCAAATGAGCTGGAATTTGCACGTTTAAAATACGAGAATGGTTGTACACTTTCTCGATTTCAAACCGACTACCGTTGATAGAGAAATGCATCAAACTGCCAACGAACATATCTCGATTGCCGAGCATCATCTTCTTCGCCTAGAACGCTCTCACTGAACGCCTCGCTACCTGTGGTTGAGTTATTCTTGTAACTTCAGACAGTTCAATACGACGGCTGGCTGCAGCGAATGTGGGACTAGCTTAACCACAGTCAAACCATTCCATGACCGTTAATTCCCGTTCAGCGAAACAATGTCACCACAGACTCCAGTTTCTCAACGCATATGCCGAGGGGTTTCCTTGAGGGAGATACATAGAAATAGATAAATAAAAATAAAATAAAATAGGTAAGTAGATCAAGCCCGTGGTACCAAAAGGTCGAAAAACACATGACAAATCATTCAGTCACTCAGGATAAGTATCCTAGAGATATTTTCCTAGTTAGTGTCTGGAGCACCAAAATGATGAATAATGACATCTCTAATATAATAATCTAAATCACAAGCACTAACTCTAGTTAAGTACAGAAATTATCCAAATTTCTTCTATAATTTTATTTTTTTCATACCTTGGACGAATTACATAAATAATAAAAATACATTTTCTCGTACATTCACTTTCACTTTCTTCTTTGGAATGGCTTCACAGAAGGAGAGATCTGGTCAGAAACTCATCAGGAGGTACATGATTTATGCTATGGCTCGAAGGGTACAGTCACCCTTTGCAATCACAGCATGAAGCGAAATGAAGAACCAACTCACTGCTCCAGCTCCAAAGAGATTCCGAGAATAACTGGCCGACCTCGAGGGACTGCCGGTAGCTTTGCTGGAATGAGGAGGAGGTTCTGCAGAATGACCGGAAGTTTTACCTCCGGTCCGCCGGACTACTGTATACCTGCTCATGGGAACGATGTACTACTGTATGGTCTCGCAACGAACAGAGACGGCAAGTAGAAAACTAACATCGTAATATATTGTATTTCTCCAACACATACAGATCATACCGTATACCATACTGTACATGAAGTTCACTCCTTCGGCAGGACGAAGGAGTCCTTCCTCCTGCACTACTTCCGGTCGGTAATTTTCGCTCGCACTTGGGGCGAAAATTGCAGATTTCTGGAGAGCAGATCGAGAATGTTTGTACGTACGTGGTCAAGCCCAACCAACTAAGTTAGTTGAACTAACCACGTTCCAGCAGCCAGGACGAAAAGGGCACGTGCTACCACCGGCAAAACGGGACGACTTCGTAAAAGTCGCCAGTCTTCGAACAGCGCAACTCCGTACCGAGTAGGGACAAGACGCAGTGACCACCGACTACGTCACCGAGCGGCAACTGAGCTGCAGCTCAGCTCAGCCCCATTGGATGGAGGCGGCAGGCAGGCAGCGGATGACGAGGACTGACTGCGCTGAATTGAGAGTTCGGGTTGGGGGGAAGCGCGACGCGCACGGGGCATTTGAATCTCGACGTATTTGCGCAGATGCTCGATGCAGCGAGAGATTCTCCCCCAGCGACGATACGAAGGAATGCGTGGAATCTTCTCGTTGGGCCGTATTTCAATTTGCTCGTCGCGCGAGAGGAAGCGAGCGAGCGAGCGCACTTTTGGACGTTGGCAAGAGCGGAGCGAGCGAGTGAGTTGGTGAGCGACGAGTGATTTATGTATGAGTAGGTTCTATTGTGTGCACGGAGAGCGAATGAATTCTCATTTCCCACCGTCGTCGAGCGAAAGAAAGGATCGTGCGATCGATCGCTGAGCTTGTCTCGTCGTCGTCGTCCGTCGAGGGCTTTGTGGAGGAATTCGATCGCGGGAGTTTGAGTTGCGCGCAGCATCGTGCATTTTGGAGAGTCCAGTCGGGTCTGCTCGATTCTTCTCTCCCGATTCTTCGATCGGGAGGGGGCACGCGTTTTCGGAGTTTGAATCGCCATGATCGAGAAACCCTAGGCACTATTGTGATCGGCCGGTGGCAGCAGAGGGAGGGAGGGAGGGAGAGAGGGGAGAAAGGGAGAAGGGAGGGAGGGAGGGGATCGGAGCTTGGCGATGTGCCTTCTGCTTTTTGCAAAGTGAGTTTATGTCTTCATAAGGAACATTGTTGTGATTGTGGCACGCCTTCTGCGGGAATTTATTTTGGCATTTTCCTCGCCCGGCCAATGTGGAGGAGGCTTCGGTCGGACGTGGTCAACGCACTGTGAGTGAGAGTGTGTGTGATCTTCTAGCTCCGCGAGGGGCTTTCGTGAACTCCGTTCGACTTCGTTCGCGTCTCTTTGATCGAGTCGTTGTCAGTGCAGGTCAGAAGTGGAAGTGGAGAGAGAGGGAGAGAGAGAGGGAGAGAAAGAGGGCCCTCGGGCCTCACAGTTTAGTTCATTGTTGCGGTGTTGATACAGTTTTTTCGTTACGATTTTCGCGGGGCTTTCGCGTTCGTCAGGTAAAAAGAGGAGCTGTCACGGAAGGAGAGAAAGCGTCAAGGATCGATTCGGAAGGAAAGATTCGTGGATTATGAAGTGTTGACCGATTCCCGGAACTCTGTGCTTGCCGTCGTGTTCGGAATAGGTTACCAAGATTGGATCTTTTCTCTGGCATGTCTCCTCGCTTGTTCCTAGTATAAGTGCAAAGGGCACGCAGCTCGGATTTTGATAGACAGCAATTGAGCTCTGAGCATACGAAAAGAGCGTAACGGAATGTAACAGCAGATTGCGTTAGCATCGATGTTTGAAAGCGAGCTTATATGAGTGCTTCTAGCTCTGCTTACAAGTCCGGGTGGGCTGTCCAGCTGCCTTTGTCTATTTGCGGCCTCTCTCTTGCGGAGAGAAGAGGAGTGAAGTTTGAGTTTGTGAAAAGTATTCTGCCTTGCAGACGTCGCCTAGACATGAGTAATTCTCCGATGACTCCGACTCCTTCGACGAGGATCTTCTCCCCAAAGATGAGTTCTGCGGGATTCAATGTATGGGAGGCGCTCAATATGCCGGAGAAGCCGGTGGCGAAATTGAGTGAAGAGCAGGTGGGAATCTGCAGAACCGCCATTGGGCACTTGAGAGGGAGTCGTTCCCAAGCTGACAAGGATTTCGATCTGATGGCGGTGAGATCTCCATTCCTCCCTTATCTCTTTTGAAATATCTGTCGTGCCTAAATTCACGGTTACAGAGGAAATTCCAATCAACCGAGTTTGTAGAAAGAGAGCGTAGTCGTTCCAAGAGTGCGAGTTTTTTTCAAGCCTGATACCGGATTGTCAATTTGAAGTCGAAAGAAGGCGTTGCTTGTGAGGATTGTGTTTCATCTTCTGTCTCTGATGCGATTCTGTACTCAGTGGGCTCAATTATCCTCTGTATAACCGACGTCTGTAATCGCTCCCCTTGTGTCAGCGAATTGAACCTCCGATAGTGTTCTTGTGTTCTCGGCCTCTGCTGCATCTCCTGCATCTCCGTTGCGTCAGGAACTCTTTCTTCATGTTCTTTGAATTCTCGCTCGAATACTGATGTGAATTCATGTGACTGAATTCACAGGATGTACTCGACAATATTTCTTCTTTTCAACATTGAGGAGAGTGTATGATCGAACTAGGTTCTCGGATCCAAGTACACTTTGGTAGGAAGCCCTTGTGTATCCATTCGCTGCGAATTCATTCGCTCTGAATTCATGCGACGTTCAGAGCGAATAAATGCACGGGTTCGCTATCATAGTGTAATTGGATCTGAGAACCTGGTCTAAATATTGTCGAGGACATCATGTAGAGATTGAGGATACGCTAAAGATGTGTTTTTTACCTCGGTAATTGGGAGGTCCGGTGGGGGTCAGCTTAGGATCACCCGCAAAAGTGCATTTGAAGAAATAATCAAGTCAAGTAGATATTGATTGTCCTTAGATTGTGCTTTAGTCACTTGAGGAAGGAGCAGGCCTGCTTGCGGAATGGACAAGATGCCCAGAACATGACATCAAACCCATAATTTGAAACGGACCCCCTGCTTCAATTAGGTGAACAGTCAGTCAGGAACACGCCGATCAAGTGCCACGGTCAATGAATGTAGCATTGATAGAAAATTTGCTTTTTACCATAACATTCCTATCTCTATAGCGGCTGACTGATTGTTCTCACGAAACTTCTATGGCGTGCAGGCAGAGAAGAATGTCGGTCATTTGAATCACTGCCAAACCTTTATTGCACAACACATCAGCAATCAATTGAAAAATCGATACGTGAATGTGCTGCCCTGTATCCTACTGAGATGTAAATTTACTTTATCGCAACTGCTAACGCCATCTCAATATGTCTCTCTTACGTTACGTTTGCCCCACTGTACGAACCCGAGATGGGTTATCTGTATAGCTTATCGATCCAAGAGTGCGCATTATCTTTGGTCTCAGGCTTCAACGTGAATTGTCTGGAGTGTCCTCTGTAATAGTTTTGTTCAATGTTTTGGGGAGACAACCTTAACATGGCTTTGAAGACGACGATAACAGAGTGGTTCTGACTGCAAATGGCCACGCTAGTGACTACATCAATGCGAGCTTCATCATGGTACAAACGCTATTTTATTAGCTCTGAATTGTGTGTGGTCTTTATCTGGTCCCAGCCATCAGCTATTGACATGTTGAACGTCTATGGTATACTTGTCAACCATATGGGCTAGTAATTAAACGCTAATAAACCCGGAATGTGACTTGTAGGATCCAGTGCATGAGAAGCTACCGGTGTACATAGCCACGCAGGGACCCTTGAGCTCCACAACGAATGACTTCTGGGAGATGATACTGCAAGAACATTGCCCTGTTATTATCATGCTGACTCAGTTGGTAGATGGTAGTGAGGTATACTTTACCCCGTCGTTTCCCGTTGTCGCCTGTTTTGTCACACTCAGCTTTGTCTTTGGAATTGTCAGAATCGAGATTTTTAGCGGAGTCACAATGTTCTTTGAAGCAAACAGATGCTGTTGACTCGTCTTGACATGCTAGGTTATGCTATTTTGCAGGACAAATGTTACGAATATTTCCCGTCTGAATTGGATATGCCAGTACGGTACGGACGACTCATTGTCACCAACAAGTTCGTTGGGAGCATGGCGAATCATTCTATCGTCAAAAGGGTGTTCGAAGTCCGAATGATGACTGATGTACGTTCATTAAAGTTCCTGTCCTTAGTAGAACTTTTCTTACTGGACCTGTTTTCTGCTTTCTGTAGTCCATGTTTTCTTACTTGTCGGTTATCACCTGCCGTGGAGATGGTTTTCAAAAATTGATATGCAGCAGAAGTCGTTCAAGTGAATGTTGCTCATCAGGCTGATGACATGTGTCTTTTGCAGCCCGAGGCTCCACCACACTACGTCCTGCACCTAGAATATTTCGAGTGGCCTGACTTTCGTGTACCGAGCACAACTGTATCACTCCGAGAGATGATGAGAAGTTTGCAGTTCATACCAGTGGATGCCGGTCCATTTGTCGTCCATTGCAGGTTTGTCCTTACTTTCTAGGAGGATGAAACCGTCATCGTGCTTCAACGGGCATGTCTTCTTGTGTGTGTTTCATGTTTTGTTGTCGAGGATTAAGCGAAGTTGCAATTCGGTGTGCCGGATTTTGTGGATCTTTTCCAGTCTATCGAGTTACTACTACTGGCTGATTGGTGGTCTTGATATCTTTCAGTGCAGGTATAGGTAGAACCGGCACGTACTGCGTAATAGATCACACATTACGGCGAATTCTCAACGGTGATCTAACAGCAGTTGACGTATGCCAAACTCTTAGAACCTTTAGGAAACAACGATACGGCATGGTGCAAACTAGGGTAAGTTTGAAATCGATATCTTACGTTCGAACGTGTGAGTCAGATCGTTTGGAGATTCTTACCTTTTCTCTGCTCTTCTTATGTATTGGATCGATACGCCACATCTGGAAAACTGACATCCCATGTTGGTGGTACTCTTTTAGGATCAATTTCGCTTCTGCTATGACGCCGTCTGCGATGAACTTGAAGACATGATTTCCCATTCCCAAAATTCCACCCAGCATTCCTTCAAGGCAGCTGTAAACTCGCGCTGAGTGAGCCCTGAGCATGCAACGTAAGCACCCTTGTCATGTTATGGAAATCCAAGTGGTCCGATGTCCATAAGATCTGCTCGGAGTCAATCATGCAGTCGCTTAAGAAAGCTCGTGAGCCCCAACTTGCGACAGGTTTAACTCAGTGCGTGGATGATCGGCCATCTTCGTCGTCTTTCAATTTGGATCTTAGCAACTCTGATCTGGAGCAAAGTATCATTGGGCAACAGTTCTGCTGCAGTGCTGTTGTAGAAAATCACTCATTGTGATAGACGGTCATCAGTGGTTAAAAGCTCCCTGCAAGAGCTTACAGAAAACCATTCAAGATATGTTAATTGTCTTATAAGGACGAAATACTTGAATTGCGATGTATAAGTGAGGTCTAATACAGGGCACCGTTATTTGCACGGTGAACCTTCTCTCATACAGTAGTTTATTTAGAAGTGGAAGCTAGATTTTTCTTCAAGAAGCTTCATGTTGAAGGATTGCCAGGCAATCAGTTTCTCAAGCTAGCTTGAGCTGGAGCAGCTCCTCGGTCACCTTAGTTTGAAGTCCACGGCGTTGCAGTGCTTTTCATGCACGCTGTTCTGAATAGTTCAGCTCGTCCTTTTTCACTCGCCAAATTTGGTATCCAGAAGTAGTCTGGTCTACACGTTTGGCTCTCACAAAAGCCGTCCTGTTCATTTTGGGAACTGGACTGGACAGAAAAAATCCGATCATTTTTAAGCATCACGGAGTTGTGTCAGCCGCATTGTATTCTCTGCCAGGATCCAGTGTATGAGATGCGTATGGAGTGTAATGCAGTCGAGTGTGTATCTGAATGCTTCAATCGTTTCGTTGTACAATTTATCTCTACTTCCCTTCTCACTGGCGCTTTCTAAATGTGTGCCAATCTCCCATAGCACATCGTTCTTGTGATCCTTTGGTCACAAAATCGGCTGGTTTGCCAATTTCTCCAATTACAGAAAGGCATATCGAGAGCAACTTCGCACGAGGTCACGTAAACCGACACGACGAAATGATGATGCTCTTTTGGCTACGAGGTTTGGACTAATGTAAAGATTCGTACGGTTACAATCGTAGCTCTGCATGTACTCTCTCTCAATCATACGACGATGAGACTTTTAGAAAAAGTACCTCTGATTACTTCAAATGACAACCTGTTATGTAGTTACTGGAAAATTAGCCCGTGAGCACCTGGATGGAAGTACAGCTCTGGACAAATTGAAAGACGGAAGAAGGGACCGCCGCAGATTGTGGCCGATATCCGACACACAGATCCCTGGATATCCTTGACAAGCACGACTTACATCGGAACTGACTGTTTCAGCAAGCCAACCTCTAAACTCTTCCGACCCCCATCGACTGGCAGTCTTCTTTTGAGAACGTCACGGCCGAGTTGATCTAAAAAGGATGGCTCATCCCTTCACCTGTACAGCTATCAATATTCTTTATGGATATTAGATTGATAGTTGTACATATACATTGTTATACTATATCATTCTAATAAGTGAATAAAATATTTCGTAACTCAAAAGTTAATAATTATTTATTACCAATATTGAAATATCCAAGTACAAGCAAAAAGAATGGGTATTCCCATCAAGCTCAAATTCCCATCAGCTAGAAATCAGTGCGCATAATATACCATAAAATCCCTAATTCCCCCACTTCAAACCATATGTTTGAGTACGATAATTTCCAGCGTTAAACTTAATCATATTTATTCAGCAAATATAATAAAGCTACGAGTCCTTCGAGTTCTGATGCGCCAACAGAAATCAAGCAAAACAGTCCACGGAAAGGCATATCGAGAGCAACTTCGCACGAGGTCACGTAAACCGACACGACGAAATGATGATGCTCTTTTGGCTACGAGGTTTGGACTAATGTAAAGATTCGTACGGTTACAATCGTAGCTCTGCATGTACTCTCTCTCAATCATACGACGATGAGACTTTTAGAAAAAGTACCTCTGATTACTTCAAATGACAACCTGTTATGTAGTTACTGGAAAATCAAATCAGTCCACGTTGCATTTGCGCTCAAGCTCGACAGGTCCCATTACAAAATGAAAAGTTGGACAGGAATGGAACACCCGAAGAGCAGACGTGGGTCCAAAGTAATAAGGGCGAACAATGGCGTGGGTGAAAGACGATGAGATTGGGAAGGCATGCGTGCACAGACTTGGCGACGCTGGGGTGGAGAAATGGGGGAGGGAATGCGAAAAAAATTTGGACCATTTCTCGATTTGTGCGTGTCATCCTTGCGCAGGGGCCATGCTAATCTTCTCTGTATCGTTCCAATTTTATCGGATGTCCCCGAAGGGACGAGAAGGACCGTGGAGCTGCGGTATATATACGCGTAAAGCCTGAGACTACAATACTTATGCCTTTAATGCACGAAAACGGAACACGTGGCGCTCTCGAGGACCGCCTCCAGAGGAACCCGAAGCTGGAAGTGAGGTCTGGTCTCAGCCCGCTTCAGTTTAGAAAAGGAAAGCCAGGATGCCGGTACTCTTCTTGCTCACACTCCATACCGTGAATCTGCTTCCTCATCCCGTAACGTGGGACCCTGAGAAACCGACCAAACCGGTGGTGTTCTCGGATTTTCTGCATTTGATGTTCGTTTCCGTCTGCAAATAGCCTTGCTAGTGCCTTCCCGATAAATCTGAATTTTTTTTACGAACGGTGGATTTTCTGCATTTAAGGTACGTTTCCGTCCGAGTCTTAGTTTATGTTCCGCGCCTTTGCAATCCGCAAAGGCGGATTTTGTGATTCTCTTCGGCCTGTTTGAATCTCGCCAATTTTCCTCTTGTTGTCACCGGACTGGCCCCGAGGACAACATGCCCATTAGAGGGCTAGTGAATGAGAACATATGAGAGATTTGTGATTCAAGGAGAGAAAAAAATTCATTAGTAAATTAAAATTTTGTTGTGGTTTTCTCTCGTAGGTTGCGCACCGTACTGCATGCAAATTGAAAGTAAATACCAAGAAAGTAAAATATTTACAAGCATCGTCTTTCAAACCTCGACTCAACTATTGCTCGACATGAGATTGAGTTCGACTGAGGAATTGTTACAGTGTATCCGAAGATCTCTCAGATAGAAAAGGATAATAAACAAGATCAACGAATTGAATCACAAGCTCGATGCTTCACGTAGCTGTGCCCAACCACATCGAAGCCTCGACAATCACATCACTTGAGGTTCTAAACTCCCATGTCATATTGCTTATGTGACCCGGCGAGAATCTGCACGACAAAGCTGTACTCTCATGATTGAGTAGCTTCAAGTATTGGTTTATCAAGTGAATTCAACAACATCGGTGGTTCTCCATTTACCTCTTGAAGTGTTGAATCTTGTAAGTGCATATTCATAATTATCAGTTATTAAATGTAACCACTTTCAATATTGAATACTAGCTCTACAGTTCAGTCCTGCTACAGTAGCCAATGCCAAAACCTAAAACTCACTCGGAAAAAGATCAACGAAAGCATAGACACATCTCTGCTTCAAACCCTGAATAGCATTCCATGGTAAATTTGGTATTGGTGGTTTGCTCGAGGCTCAAACAAGGATTTTAAGAACAAATCAAGAAGGGTTATAACTATGGATTTGTGGGTCGCTACTAAGAAGAAAAGTTTTCAATAACTTCGAAACAAACAGACAGAAGTTGAGCTTTTCCTTTTTTTGATGCATTGACTCACCTTCAACATCAAAAATCCGAAATAGAGAAGAAGATAGAAGAATCAAAGATACGCTGGGAGCAATGGGAAACAACATGTGCCGCAACCTTCATGCTGCAAGAATCTTGAAGGATTATGGACTGGAGATGGGTCGACTTCTTTATCTAAGCGACTCTAGTGAGAAAAACCCATTATACTGGACCTCCTCGATGTCTTCGATTTTGAGGTCAAGTCGAACATCTAACGAGGCAGTACTTCACGTGAATCATCATAAGCTAGAAACCTTGAAGAGGACGGCTTGAGACTTGAAGATTATTGAGGTGATCCAACAGAGTGAAAGTTTCAGGTATACAACTGGGACAAGGGTGGAGGAGAAGAGAAAAACCAAAGTTGCAGAAGAAGCGGTCTGGATTACTTTCCCTACAAACAAAGTAACAGTTTCATCAAGAGACACGGCGACCACGATAGCAGGATTTCCAGCTGAAGATTGAAGAAATTTCACTTCGACTAAAAAGGCTCTGCAAACGAGGAAAGGAGATTAAGCGAGGAAACAACAGTTCAATAAAATGGAAGAGCACGGCCTAGAATTTGATTCCTCGAGATTTTTGTAATTATCGAGCTCTGACACGGGGTCTGTAGCAGTGAAGCCTATAGTCAACTTCATTGGCTGCGGTCGATGCGTTCTGTGTGCTTGACTTCTTTGGTACAACTGGACGCATTTGGATCGGCCAGGGAATGACTTACGATGACAAAATCCCAAACCAAATTGCAAGAGCCTTGACCGTGAATGGACTCGTGTAATTCCAGATCCAAACATCCGGAATGCTCTCACGAACCAGAGACGAAACGTTATCAAAAAAATGCCAATTCCCATAATTTGCGAGCGAAAACTGCGAGCAAACGAAACAATTGCCGCACGAGAGTCAGAGGCCGGCGAAAGCAAGAGCAGTGATCACCATAATGAAACGATGAGCGAAGACGGACACCATATCGGATCCCACGAATGTGACATCGCCGCGGAAATCTTCGCTGTGAGGGCCGGGATCGTAAGCCTGCAGAAAACGCACTTTTTTCTCGGCAATATCACTTCCAAGAATGGCTTCCTTTCCTTCAAGTTCTTGAATAAGCTGGTCTTGAATAATCTGGGCTTTAAGATGCTTAACGTAAACCATACATCCGTTACTGGAGTTGAAGAACCTCCCTGCAAGGACCAAGGCACGTCTCCGACGATGACGCTGAAGTCGCTGCGAGGGCCAGGCTCGGAAGCCTGCAGAAAGCGCACTTTCTTCTGGGCAGGATCACTTCCTTGAAGGGCTTGATTAAGCACACATCGCAAATGTCAGAATTCCTAATAGCGTATTCACCACATCGTAGTTCGAGCGCATCTCAATATTCAGAGTTGCATGACTGACTTCAAACGAAGTCGCATGCTTTTATCGACCTCGAGCTTCGTGTTCAGACCTGTACAGGAGATTGACAGACGCCCGGGCAAAACGAAGAGACCAAGTGGCCAGAGGCCTCATGAGGCGATCCCCGAGAGCATTAATAGCATTATCGGATGTCCCTTCGGAGACATCCTATAAAATTGGAACGATACAGAGAAGATTAACATGCCGGTGCCGGTCGTGAACGCATCCTCACTTGTCATTGGCAGTATAGCTCCAGGTTACCACACGGGAGGGAGCGGCAATTTCACATATAACATATCGGCAAAGAAATTCACTGCTCCAAACTACCAGTCACTTCCGCCGGGAAATCCGGTTTTTTCGGAATATTTCAATTCCACGTGTATTTTCGCGCGTTCTTGGGTTTACTCCTCCAAAATTTCTTTTCACTCCATTGCAATTAATAAAGACATTTCTCACTTTTCAGTCCGAACGCACCACCTCTACCACCAGTGTGGTAGAGGTTATGGGATTGTCTCCAGCTGGCCGACTCAGGCCTACGAAAACCAGGTTTCAAGCTCGGGGTTTTATCGATGGTTGGGGATGGCACGGTAGGCTTGGCCACGGTCCGGATCGACAGTTAACCGGTCCCAGATTTCTCCAGGATCGGTTAACAGGTCTAGGAAAAAAATCTCCCGTCCCAGTCTTGAATCTTCACAATCCATGGGTACCAAAATTGTAGGTACCCAATTCGTGACTCAGTGTAATGAGAAAATTCATTATCACACCTTTAGCCTGATTTCGACCTCATTGCAAGACGGAAATGTTTTGACGGGCCCCACACGAACCCTGAACTCACGACGAAAGAATAGGAGGAAATCGAGCGCTCAATTCGGAATTCAATCCGCTTCAGAATTTTCGTTGCTTTCGTGACCTGGTGATCGTCAAATTGCGCAAATATGTCACTTGCTGTGACGATCGAGGCTTACGAGGTGGGACCTGTGCAAGGACGAATGACAGGATTCTGCTGAACGTCGTTCGCACCGTGGCACCCGCGAGTTCGTCGTGGAATGCACGCAAGAATTAGGGAGTTTAGCCGACCGTCGTAATAAGGTGCTGTATTTGAGAAACTATTAGTCCAGGAGTGTTCTTTTGCACACAATTCGAAAGCACGCAGAGCGTGTTACACTTGGCCACGGTCCGGTACGACGGTTAAAGTATAGGTTAACCCTTAACCGAAAGGAGCCAAGCCTGGACTGGTTAACCGGTTTATTGTACCGGTTAACCGGTCCACAAATTTTCTGAACCGGTTAATCGTTAATTGGACCGTGGCCAAGCCTATGGCACGGTACTGGATACTGAAGCTGCTGTCAAATCTTGATCTGAATCAAAAATGGAAGCACCGCATGGTTAATCTGGATCTAAGACACGGTTACCTTCAATCCGAAGTCAAACATTCCCCCTCACACAGATCTAACTACTCTGTACTATATTACCTTTCAATCCGAAGTCAAACATGTCCGCTATATAGCTATAGGTAACTGAACTGCAAACCCACGGGTGACGGTAATAGACGAACGGTGAACGGTGTACGTATACCGTCAGGCTGGAGAATATACAGTCGGGGTTGTTTTAGCGAGAAGCCTAACTGACTTCGGGATAGGGGGTGAGATAGAGAGACAAAGGTAACAAGGAGTTACTCCTCGAGGCTTTTTAAGGTAGAACCCGGGGACACCCTCTTGTCAATGTCACTTTATTGTATATATTGACACTTCAATGCGATTCAGTGCCGCGAGGCTTTAAACGGAGTACCTCGCTAGCCACCTCGATAGACTCCACGTGTATACTCGTGTAAACCTTGGCTCTCCACTATATTCGTGTCCACCTTCGCTCTCCACTGTTTTCCCGTCGTTCCATGGCCGACGATGGCTCGGAGCAGAAAGATCCATACGCACTCGCATGTCATGACAAACCAACATCTTAAATCTTAATGAGTTATCACGCAGAGCCCATCGTATACATTACTGGGAGCACCAACATTTTATGATGTGATTGTTCCGACAAGTACTCTTCAACCAAGATCTCCGCCGACTCCACGTAGATTTCGTCAAAGCCAGTGTTTTTTCTGCCATCCTGCATATCTTCACAGGAGGCTCACATGCGAAGGGCCCATTCTGCACCAGCCAAACACCGAAGGCTCCTTCTGAGATTCAAAACACGAATCCAAACGTGACTGTTTTA